GCGGACGGCGTACGACAACGGACGAAGCACGATGGCTATAGATCATCTCGACCCTTCGGGTCAGATGACCTAAAAACACATAAATAACAGAAAATAGGTCTGGGGTGGGGAAATTTAGTGTTGGGCAGAGGTGGGGGGTGGGGGAGTCACTTTCAACCATGGCCATGGTAAAGTGAAGCATTACACTTTTTGTCTAACTAATTAACCTTTATGACCAATCTTTGTGCTATTCACCTTGATTCAATCAAATAAAAACAAAAATAACAAACAAGAGGCCCATGGGCCTTAACAGTCATCTGACAAAAAGCAAGCCAAACCTAGAAAGTGGGTTGAGGTCATTCATTTGAACAAACTTGGTAGCCTCTCCTCCAAGCATCTTACAGGCCCAATATCAGCACTCATGGACTTTTGCTTATTGAGATGAAGTCCTTTGTATATTTTAACATATTTGACCCCTGTGACCTTGAAAGTGGGCCAAGGTCATTCATTTGAACAAACTTTGTAGGGCTCCATGCCAGCATGCTATGGGCCAAGTATTAGCCCCCTAGGCCTTCTAGTATTTGAGAAGAAGTTATTTAAAGATTTTGACATATTTGACCCCTGTGACCTTGAAAGTTGTTCAAGGTCATTCATTTAAACAAACTTGATAGCCCTTCATCCCAGCATGCCACAGGCACAATATCAGCAATCTGAGCCTTTTGGTTATTGAGAAGAAGTTGTTTAAAGATTTTAACATATTTGACCCCTGTGACCTTTCAAGTGGGTCAAGGTCATTCATTTGAACAAACTTGGTAGAGCTCCATGCCAGTATCCTCTGTGCCAAGTATTAGCCCCCTAGACCTTCTAGTATTTGAGAAGAAGTCGTTTGAATGAAAAGTTTACGGACGGCGCACGGCGGACGGCGCACGGCGCACGACGACGGACAAAGCATGATGACTATAGGTCATCGGACCCTTCGGGTCAGATGACCTAAAAAGGTTTTTTTTTCACCAATTTTTGTGCTAGCAACCCTGATTCAATCATATAAATACATAACAACAAACTGTTATCTGTTCAAAGCTAGTTCTGAGGACAGCATACCTAGTATGCCGAAAAATGTCACCTATTAAATAGTTTTAATTCTTCCTACGGATGTTGTTTGGTCCTGTATATTTGTAAGAAGAACAAGAATTTTCTTACAATTTTGAATTTCTATTATACGCCTTACTTTTTCGATTCAGTTTTAATAAAGACACAATTATTTGGCCATCATATTCAAAACAGATATCCCTGTCCATCTCCGAAACACACTAATGACATATATCCCTGTCCCTCTACGAATACACTAATGACATATATCTCTGTCCCTCTCCAAAATAAACTACTGACAAATTTCCCTGTCCCTCTCCAAAACACACTAATGACAGATATCCCTGTCCCTCTTAAAAACAAACTAATGACAGATATCCCTGTCCCTCTTAAAAACAAACTAATGACAGATATCCCTGTCCCTCACCAAAACACACTGCTGACAGATATCCCTGGCCCTCTCCAAAATACACTACTGACAGATATCCCTGTCCCTCTCCAAAATACACTAATGACAGATATCCCAGTCCATCTCTAAAATTAACTGACATCTATCCTTGTCCTTCTCCAAAATAAACTAATTACAGATATCCCTGTTCCTCTCCAATAATAAACTATTGACAGATATCCCTGTTACTCTCCAAAATAAACTATTGACAGATATCCCTGTCCCTCTCCAAAATACACTAATGACAGATATCCCTGTCCCTCTCCAAAACACAATAATGACAGATATCCCTGTCCCTCTCCAAAATACATTACTGACAGATATCCCTGTCCCTCTCCAAAACACACTAATGACATATATCCCTGTCCCTCTCCAAAACACACTAATGACAGATATCCCTGTCCCTCTCCAAAATACACTAATTACAGATATCCCTGTCCCTCACCAAAACACACTGCTGACAGATATCCCTGTCCCTCACCAAAACACACTGCTGACAGAAATCCCTGTCCCTCTCCAAAATACACTACTGACAGATATCCCTGTCCCTCTCCAAAACACACTAATGACAGATATCCCTGTCCCTCTCCAAAACACACTAATGACAGATATCCCTGTCCCTCTCCAAAATACACTTATTACAGATATCCCTGTCCCTCTCCAAAATTAACTAATGACAGATATCCCTGTTCCTCTCCAAAATACACTAATGACAGATATCCCTGTCCCTCTCCAAAAAAACTACTGACAGATATCCCAGTCCATCTCTAAAATTAACTGACATCTATCCTTGTCCTTCTCCAAAATAAACTAATGACAGATATCCCTGTTCCTCTCCAAAACAAACTTATTACAGATATCCCTGTCCCTCTCCAAAATACATTACTGACAGATGTCCCTGTCCCTCTCCAAAACACACTAATGACAGATATCCCTGTCCCTCTTAAAAACAAACTAATGACAGATATCCCTGTCCCTCTTAAAAACAAACTAATGACAGATATCCCTGTCCCTCTCCAAAACACACTAATGACAGATATCCCTGTCCCTCTCCAAAATACATTACTGACAGATGTCCCTGTCCCTCTCCAAAACACACTAATGACAGATATCCCTGTCCCTCTCCAAAACTAACTAATTACAGATATCCCTGTCCCTCTCCAAAATACATTACTGACAGATGTCCCTGTCCCTCTCCAAAACACACTAATGACAGATATCCCTGTCCCTCTCCAAAACACACTAATGACATATATCACTGTCCCTCTCCAAAATATACTAATGACAGACATCCCTGTCCCTCTCCAAAATACAATAATGACATATCCCTGTCCCTCTCCAAAATACATTACTGACAGATATCCCTGTCCCTCTCCAAAACACACTAATGACAGATATCCCTGTCCCTCTCCAAAACACACTAATGACAGATATCCCTGTCCCTCTCCAAAATACACTTATTACAGATATCCCTGTCCCTCTCCAAAATTAACTAATGACAGATATCCCTGTCCCTCACCAAAACACACTGCTGACAGATATCCCTGGCCGTCTCCAAAATACACTACTGACAGATATCCCTGTCCCTCTCCAAAATACACTAATGACAGATATCCCTGTCCCTCTCCAAAATATACTTATGAAAGATATCCCTGTCCTTCTCCAAAATACACTTATGACAGATATCCCTGTCCCTCTCCAAAAAAACCTACTGACAGATATCCCAGTCCATCTCCAAAACTAACTAATGACAGATTAATAGAATCTTCCCCTATCCTGAGGGTGTGATAGAGAAATCTCCAACCCGAGGGGTGATTTTTGTTGTTGTCTAACCCGAGGCTCTGTCGAGGGTTAGACTACAAAAAAAATCACCCCGAGGGTTGGAGATTTCTCTGTCACATCCTCTGAGGGTAGGGGTTGATTATTTTTCTCCCACCCCATTATTTCCGCCACGACGTACACTGTACAAGTGTCTGAATGGCGCATGAATATCACCATTCATGTTTCCAAAATTCTACATTCTTCCGCGAGAGCAAAATGACAGACAACAAACGCAATATAAATAACCATTAGAAATATTTATTTTTTGGAAATTAAATATTTTAATTAGCGATAGATACATGGAAATACTTGTATTGAACAACATTTAACTCCGTATCATTTATTAAGGTAGAGTAGGCTTGCCGCGATGTCATGGACAAAAAGGGGATTTCCCAGATTGTTTACGCGCGCGAAAAATTGCAATGGTGTGAGTGTCACGCGTGTGTTCATTCAGAATCAGAGTGATAGATGATCCTCCGAAGTTTATTTGTGTTCACTGGACAACGATTGTTATAGTTAATGATAACTGTGATGTTACAGTCGCGCATTACGGAACCTGCAAACAAAGCATCCACTCGTCGGTTTGAGTCAGTTGTGATAGCCGCCTGAGGTCACCAGGTGCAGTCATGTGGGATAGATTTATCCTCCATGGGTGTTCTACATGGGACATGTCTATCCTACATGGGCAGAGGTGGGAGAAATCCCTGTCCCTCTCCAAAACACACTAATGGCAGATATCCCTGTCCCTCTTCAAAACACACTAATGACAGATATCCCTGTTACTCTCCAAAACAAACTATTGACAGATATCCCTGTTACTCTCCAAAATTAACTAATGACATCTATCCTTGTCCTTCTCCAAAATAAACTAATGACAGATATCCCTGTTCCTCTCCAAAACAAACTAATTACAGATATCCCTGTCCCTCTCCAAAATACATTACTGACAGATGTCCCTGACCCTCTCCAAAACACACTTATGACAGATATCCCTGTCCCTCTCCAAAACTAACTAATGACAGATATCCCTGTCCCTCTCCAAAACACACTAATGGCAGATATCCCTGTCCCTCTCCAAAACACACTAATGGCAGATATCCCTGTCCCTCTCCAAAATATACTAATGACAGATATCCCTGTTACTCTCCAAAATAAACTAATGACAGATATCCCTGTTACTCTCCAAAACAAACTATTGACAGATATCCCTGTTACTCTCCAAAATAAACTATTGACAGATATCCCTGTTACTCTCCAAAATAAACTATTGACAGATATCCCTGTTACTCTCCAAAATAAAATAATGACAGATATCCCTGTTACTCTCCAAAATAAACTAATGACAGATATCCCTGTTACTCTCCAAAATAAAATAATGACAGATATCCCTGTCCCTCTCCAAAATATACTAATGACAGATATCCCTGTCCCTCTCCAAATTAAACTAATGACAGATATCCCTGTTACTCTCCAAAAAAAACTAATGACAGATATCTCTGTCCCTCTCCAAAACTAACTAATGACAAGCACAAATGTCACCCAAAAGATCAACAAGGAGCGAACATTTAATTCCATCTCCAAGATCATACATTGATGAACATTCTTGATAATACATTCCACATGGATCCGAAGTGAAATCAAATGGTGTTTACACAACACTTACCAGAAATGGCCCTCTTGTAGACTCCTTGGATAATGGCAATAAATCGGAAGAGTCCAAAAGCCACATAGAAATCCCAGTTGTCTATGGGAGGGATGCCCATTTTCTGACAGTACTCAGCAATAAATTCCTCCACTGTATGACATCCTATCTCCTCCATATTTACTGAACCCGAGTCTGGAACCACATATAACAGTTTATAACAGATTGGAGACCATGCATTACAATACTATAGCTTTTGTAACATTCTCAGGTTTTTTTTATTTGCTTGGATAATATTCTAAGGCTTTTTATTTGCTTTATTATCTTTGAAAATAAACATGAAACTAATTAACTGATACCCCATCAAACTTATATCCAGAATCATTATCTCTGCAAATGCATTCCTACATAAATACATTCCTGGTTATAACCCACATGCTATACAATCAGAGTTGCCTTTTGCGAACATGCATCTGCCACAGCAGGCTATCTGTGAGGATATTTTACTTAGTTTTTAGGTGGGTTATAAATTGCTAATTGCTTCCTTGTGAATGTGTAAAAGCATGAGGAAATAGTGTTAGTAATTTCTTTTGAAGTTCTATTGTTATTGCAAGTGTAAGATCAGTAAGTCTGTTTTTATTTAGTCGCCATTGTCGTACTATATTTTATCATTTATTATTTTCATATTTATATTTATTTACATTTATATACATTATATATACATATAGCAGGAAATCACAGTATATAAATAATTTTCTTTTTAAATACAAACACTTGCATTTGTGATCTTTTCGTGTATTCAAATAGAGATAGTGAGGAAAATGAGTATCATTTTCTTGTATTCAAATCCAGACAGTGAGAAAAATAGATGTATTTTTCATATCAATAATTTTTAACATGTGCATTTGTAATATTCTTTTTTATATTAAAATCCAGAAAGTGTTAAAAATCTATAAATTTTCATATTTATTTATGTTTTTATATACATAACTTAGAAACAAATTAACAAACCATGTTAAGCATATTTTTTAACTTTCTTTCTTCTACTTGTTCCCTTTTCCATAAACAGAAAGAGAAAGATGTCTACATTTCCAAGAAACTTTTGTAAGGTTAGACAACATTAAATTCCTATGAACTAGTTCTCGCTAAGACATCCACAAAACCTGTCTTATTCAATATCTACACAGCAGAATATGTGTTTATACCAGTATTCAAGGTACTTCTGAATTAGAATTCAAATATTTTCAAGTTTTATTGAAATCTTACAGAAATAGTGACCTTAATCTTTCAATCAAGTCCCTGGTTACCTGATAACACCGACAACATGGGCAGTGCTTTCAGTGTAATGTTTATCATAATTTTGTACACATGTTTTCTTGCCCTCAAATATTTTTTCTATTCTGCTTGGTCTATAATTTACAACAATTCAAAGAAAACCCTTTGTTCAAGCATAATAAATATTGAATGAACAGTTTTAAGACTTTAACTGAAAAACAAAATTTAAGAAAGCCATGTTGTATCCCAGACATATTTATCAAATTTCTTACCTGAGAACATGAAGAAGTCAACAGGCAGGTAATAATTAACAAGTGCAGAGAAAAGGTCTGTTATTGGATCTCCTATTGTAGAGAGTTCCCAGTCTAGAACGCCAATCACTTCAGGTCTATCAGGGTGGAAGATGAGGTTGTCGAGTCTGTAAAACAATGTTGGAAGGATATCACCTGTTCTATTGCTTCATTTCATATTTTTCAAAACATCAAAATAATTATTCAATAGTAATTGTTTTCTTCACAAACAATAGCCATAGTCTTACTCATTTTTTCTTTATTTCAGAGTACAACAAAATCATTTTGGTTTCATTACATGTTTACTGAAACCTTTAAATGAAATAGAGATAGAATTGATCTCAAGAGAAACAGACAGAGAGAACCATAACCTTTATAAGGAACAGAGATAACACTGACTTTTATGAGAAACAGATCAATAAAGATAATATTAACCATTCAGAGAAACTTTTGAACGAAATATAAGAGAAACTTTTTGATAAGAAAAGTTAATTTCTCAACAGTAATTTCTGATTCAACACAAAAAACTGACTGTCTCATACTAAAACCTTATATGGAAGCTAAAAATATTAATTTAAACTTAATTCGTCAATGATGATGTCTGAAAACTTGCCACTACCTGAAGTCTCCGTGCACCACTGTGACTCGCTCGTTTGTTGGTATACGTTCAGATATCCACTGCATGAGTTTGTTCATAGACTCAATCTCACGTGTCTTACTTGCCTCATACTGCTTTGCCCATCTTGCGAAGTTCCTCTTTAAGAAACCACCTTTAACATAACAGAATTTAGGTCAAGGTTAATCAATATACTAATTTAAGGTCACTTAACATCAACAGATTTTAGCATTTAAGTAAGGAGGTCATTCATTCAAAAGATTATAACAGGATTTTTGATAGGATTTGGTTCTGACCTTTTTTTCCATAGTTATCGAGACCGGCAGCACTGATGTTCACACGATGGATCTGACAAAGTGTGTCAACCATACACGAGTACAGCTCTCTACGCTGGGGTTTGGTCATACCAGGTAGTGACCGGTCTATAAAGACCCGGCCTTTCAGATACTCCATTATATAAAAGGGAGTACCAATAACACTGTCAAGAAAAAACACCAATAGTTTCACTAACAATGCCTTCATGTCAGTCAATAAACACTTTTAATTTAATAATCTGTGAAGACAAATAAAAGACAAGACCATTAAATATAGATGGGGAAATCTCACATCCAATTCAGTAGACAGTTATTTCAGTAGAGCTGACTTCAGGCCCCGGTTTCATGTATCTTCATTAACTTAAAATTGTCCAAAGCATTACATAAGTTAAGAAAATATCCTTAAATTAAAGTTTTTCTTTAACTTACATAATGCTTTTCTATGGTAGTTAAGATTTCCTTAAGTTAAGAAAGATTTGTGAAACTAGTGCCTGGTCTGGACACAAATTCAGGTTAATCTGGAAGAAAGCTATGGGGCACTTGGCCACTTAAACCAGAATCTGAATCCTCCATTTTTCCATTTTCTTCCCATTTTATTTATGATTGTTGTCCTTATTTTTAACATTGACTAAAATTACCCTCAGGTCACAGAAGTTTCCCTGCATTTCTTTAGTGTTTTGAGATTTTGTGTCATGGCTACGCCACTTACCTGGAATCTTCACACAGTCCATACATTTTCGGCATGGGAACACCATGTTGTCCCAAAGCCTGCATCACTTTAAATTCTCTTTCTACAGCATGGGCTGATGGTAACAGCTTTCCTGGCTTCATAGGAAAAAAATTCAAAATGTCATTTTAAAATTTCAAAGACGATTTTGGAGTAAATTTAAATGTACACAAGTTAAATTTCTGGTACAGTAATTATGACATAACCTAACAAATTACACCTACATAACAAACTCACTTTCGACACGAAAAAGAAAAGCAAAAATATCAGAAATATACATAACCTGATACATTTAATTTTCATTATCATGTGAACTTTATTCTGACAGATAACAGCCGATTGAGTACCAGTAGATAATTTGTATGTGTGAAAAGAACCAATACTAACAGGCTTTTTACGGAGAACAAGCTGCTTGCCTCCGTAATTTACATAATATGTTGGATTTGATTGGCCATGCTCAAAACAGCGTATGTGAGGAGGATCTGAAATGGAACAATGAAAATGTTCAATTAGTCTTTATAACTGAAGTGATTTAAATCTGGAAAGTTTGATAAGGTAATGGGAGATTATCTATGGTAGACTTCAATGTAAAACATATGTCAGATTGGACTGTATAGTATAAGCTGTACAAAAGTTCTCTTACAAATACTATGGTGCCTGATCCAAGTCATATTGTATAAAGCCTCACAGAGAATAACAGTATACCAATACTCAAAACCATTGTTGTGTAATTTAAGGCCTCAAGATAAATAATGTAAAAATGCTGACCATGTCACTATGTTAGTCTGGAATGAGATGTATTGAGGGAGGCTTTCACACAAAACACAACCCTAATACATTTATGTTGGGTTGGGTCCCAGAAAGAGGGTTACAATGAATTCCCGACTTAAAGTAAAGAGAAGGGCATACCATTATCACAAAACAATAAAATACCATCTGTTGATATTTCCACAGATACCATAATAATTTCTTGGTGAGCTCATTAGCAGACATGACCTTGTTACTGATAAAACAGTGAAAAGTATCACAAACACAACAGCATCAGAGTAAGTTTCTAGATTTATTTTGTTATTGTTGACCAATTTCACCTCTTAATGAGTTTCTTCAGGACAACTAACTCAATTTTCTACACCTAAAGTACACAAAATATGGAAAACCTATTCTATAAATAGTAAATACAGCATTATGAGGTAATTATTACACCAGCAATACCATTGATACTGTAAAATTATTTATCTTTGTGGCGCTTAAATTTTGCAGTTTTCCTAAACATTTTCATATTTGTTGATATCTAATTTCATGGAAAATCTTGCTTGTGAAATATGCTAGCACTTTATCAATCCAAGTCAATTTTTATCTATGTATCATTTCATGAGCACACAAGATCATGGTTAAAGAATCCACATGAATCAACAAAAATAACCCCCCACTAAAATTAATTGTTTTACAGTAAGTGTATGCTGAGTCAACTCCAAAATTAAAAATCAGAGTAAAATGTATGTATGATGTTGACAAGAGTAGGGATAAAACTTAAGTGTTCCTATATGTACCTGTAGATTGAATATGGAGAACATTTTTCAGGTAGTTTTCCAGTCTGTCCATAGGAATTCTGAGGTGTTCTGCTACAGCTATGGTACCCTCCACATAACCATGAAGAGGCATACCCAAGAATTCTTCCAACTCTCTGATTGCTACATCAGGATCTGATACCTAAACAAAGGAGAAAACTCTCATTTATTCTTGCATAGATATTTATGTTGTCGGTAAAACCATGGTAACCAGATGTCACACTGACCTCATTGTCTGCTCTGTAAGGAGCCAAGGACATCAATATCTCTACATTTTCAAATGTTTATCACTAGTAGATAATGGCAGTATGCTCTAATTCTATACAAACTGTAGCGATTCAGAAAAGCCAGAAATCCAGGGGTTTGTAGCCAGACGGCAGAGTGTCTCATAAAACAATATATATTATTTTGAAGTGAAGCTCAAGGCTTTTTTATAAGGCAGTGACATTAGGATGTGTAGTCTGTATTGGTAGAGCCAGGCTCCAGTGTGGTCCTGTTGCTCAGATTACACTCTTAAAATGTATGAATGACAAAGTTATCATATTATAAATACAGGAATATAAGGAACTTACATTAATGAGTACACAAGAGAATTTCATTGATGAAATAGCATCTGAAATTCACATTACTTTTATATGAATGAAATATCCGCCTAAAATTCTGTTTGATAGAAGTATTTATCATAATGCAAGTCCAGTCACTTAGTCAAACAAATTAAAAACAAAATCTATTTTTATTGATGGAATGCAACCATTGAAACTAATAAGAAATTATTTGAAACATCTGAAATCAGGAAATGGACATTTCTGATGATAATGAATTCCTTGTCAAGGAATCTGTCAATCAAGTATAAAGACTTTACCCATAATTTTCTTGACAAGGCACTGGTTTCACAATTATTCCTTAACAATAGGAAATTCCTAAACTAAATACTTTAATGAGAAGTACATTAATGTATTAAAAGAGTTAAGGAAAAATTCTTCAGCAAGGCCACATTCATAATATCTGAAGTGATTTCTAAATGAAACTTTTTGGTTCAAGAATATCTGTGAAACTGGACCAGCTGCATCAACAGTTAGACATGTTCATTAAAGTCAATGACATCCATGGGGTCCCCTCCTGAAGTGACCAACATACCTAATTACATTCTACCAGTACATCAATGTTTACTGACTGTTCTATTTGGTTTGCAAATTGTTTGTTGGATTATTGCCCTGTGACCAGCTAGGGTCATTTTTAGTTGAAGTCTCCTTGTAGCAGCTGGTGGCTACCTCACTGAACAACATACAGGAGGCCCATCACCTTATATCCAAAGCAATTGGAGTGAAGTGTCTTGACAAGGTCATAACCATAACATTGTAGACTATTCCATTTCTCAACTTTCTGAGAACCGCAAACTACCACAGATAGGGAGTGTCAATATTTGTTTACCTTGATTGTGTTGATTCCTACAGCTTTTGCTGATTTCAGATTGCCACCAAGGTCATCAAGGAAAACGGACTCCTGTGGAGCCACATCTAGTTTGTTCAGACATAGCTCATAGATCCGAGGGTCTGGCTTCCTCATCCCCACGACGCAGGACTCGATGATCTAGCCACAGACAGACAGGATAATGCATCACTATATATAATGAAATATTGTCACCGTAATTCAGTTTTTATCAATATTTCAAACATCAAACACTTATTCTCTAAATATAGAATTTAGTTGTGGGTGGTATAGACACTAAACAGAATCAGTTAAGCAATATTGGTCAAGATATAAAACACTTGTGTTTATCATGAACACCATTGCTCCCTGCAAATTAATATCAAGTTTGATCAATTTTCTATAAAAGAAACCACTGTTACCATGAACTTGAATTGAGAGCCTTGCAACATCTACTTTTGAGATAGATTTATAGCTGATCTTTGCAAAAAGTTTTATCAAAATCCCTAAAGAAATGAATGCACCCATTGAGTGACGACAGTGATTGGAGACAAGTTGAGACACAACAGGATGGACTTGGACAACCACACAAAATGGTGGAAGCATGAGTTAAAATATCTTCTTGTAGATTATTTTACTTCACAAAGATTATTCTATATTATTTCTTAAAAACCAAATCCTGTTTCTTCACATCAAACAGTAACTCACTACATCAAACAATGAGCGAGCCAGAGGAAGGCTGTTGGAAGAGTCCTTCCCAGGCCAGTGCCAATTGTTGGTGAGAAGGGCAGTCTTCAATCCTTCCGCCTTAACACATCGAATAGCATCAATCATCTGGGGGTAGGGTGTACCGAGATAAATGCTGAACCCCTTAAACAACTCAGCCACATCAATGTGTTTCCCTGTCTACAATAAAATTATAAACACAGTATAGCTGAATACCAACAACTTCATAATAATTAATGCCATTAGTATCTTTATGGTCCATTGAAATTCTAAATAAGATTTATCCAACAGCGAAAACTACCTCAAAAAAGTTTTTGTGACAAGTTTTTACGTTAGCTTGGTGGTTTACAAAACACTGTCTTAAAAAAAATCTGGTCCTGCCAAAAAAAACCATAACAACTAACTAATTAAGATATTTGGAAGGACTGATTATTGAATTCACTGCATATAAACCGAAGACAATTAATTCACATATCAAGTAAGAAAATAAGCAAAACAAACCAAGTCAAAGTACTCTTTTTGGAAAGCGTCAAAGAACTGAGTGACGGAGAGTTCGCCAGTTTCCAGTTTATACCACGATCCTTTATTGCCGCCATCCACTATCACTTTTGATATGGACTTTGGTGGTAGATTTTTTGACTTCTCATAATCTGAAAAGTCAAAATTCAAAATGATCAAATTCAGTAATAGGACGTAAGATAGTTATTGACCATACACTTTTGCTGCTACTGTACTTTGAAATATGGTGCGGTTGCTGAAATGAATAGTTTTCGATTATTGAAAATATCCCTTGTAGTGCATTTTAAATAGAATTATATAAATAATATGACAAAACTATTATAACAACAAAGATAAGGTGTTTCAGTAATACTATAGTATTTTCAAATCTGCAATTAAATTTTATGGTGGTTTCATGTCTTCATTCATTAAAACAATTACGAAGACAAAAACATTCTGAAGCAAACACGAAGTATTATTCACAAGTAAAATTAACAATACTGCAACAGCCAGAACACTATACTGTGTTGATCTAGTACAACAAATATTATTACCTTCAAACATCGTAAATGGGGGAGGAACAATAACTCCCCCAAGGTCAAATATAACCGCCTTGGTTTTGTACGGACGGGAGACAGCCATCTTCCTGACACTTGGTGGTGACGAAGCTGTACAAACGGCAGGTAATATGACTCTACTAGAGGTATTGAATGCCTTTCCCAATAAATTAGGAAAAAGTACAGAACATCTCAGCATGTTTCCATCTGTAACAAACATTAATTTCTTCAATGTTTATCTAGGTTTCATTACAATATTGAAAAATAGTGTTTTTTTAAAAAAAACGTCTGCCTTACATAAGGAATTAAGAATTTAAAATGAAGAAAACAACTCATTTGAAATCAAAGTTCATATCATTTTCATACTACTGTATAAACTATTACTGTATTTTATTTTAAATTATTAAGACTTAAGTTCCTAAAACCTTTACCATAACCATTCAAAATGTAATGCTCAGCAAATCATGACTGCTGCTAAATATCTTACTTCTTTCCCAATAAATTTCAATTGATATCACTCTCGTTGGGAAAATGGATAAAAGCTTAAATGGAATATCATTAAAATCATGTAAACCAATATGCCTTCTCTAAAGTGGAAATCACACCATGGCTATTATGTTACCTGTGAAATGCAAGTTTGTTAAAGCTTGATAAACCACCAAGTTACCATTGGCTACAGATGCTGCTATTGCCAGACTTGAAGTTTTCTTCAATTTATCTCAGCTGTTTGGTAAATAATAATAATATGAGGAAACTATTTTCTCTTATTTGAAAAAGTGAGTTGAAAATTTTCAATGCTGAAAATGTTCTTACTTTGAACATACATGTGTGTATATAATAAAAACCCATGTACAGACCATTAAATGTTTTTTTCTCCTTTTTTTTTGAGAGTGAAATTCTGACTATTAACCATGACCAAGTCAAAATCAAAATTTAAATTGCAGATTGATATAATTGTCTGCAAACACATTATAATTAACACCTGCATTGTAACTGAAAAGACTGAAACAAACTACCAAGGTTCACATTCCAAATCCAAATTTAACTATTATATACATGTATATATTTTTATTCTCTCGCCTTTGATACGTGCTAATCAAGATCACAGAACTAAACAGATTTGTATATAACCCCCAATTACAGCTGACATGAACTTATGGAATGTGCCATCACTGTGTCATATTTTCATCAAGTTTCTTCAATGTAAAGAATTTTATCCATAAACAAAATTGAATTTAAAAAATAATTTGAGAACTGTAACAGAACATGAATATATACATAACTGCTATATTCATGACATCGTGTGACATTCAGATGATCCAAAATAAGGCTCAACGTCTTTTTACATTACCTTTTCTACAGCGAGTAAATTTATATCATTGAAACGTTATTACTATATTTGGAGACCAAGTCTCTGAAGATTAGATATGTGTTAAAGTTATTAACACATGGATAAGGGAAGCTTGGGTCCAATGTGTGAATAATTATAAGCCATAACACTGTTACAAGGCCAAATCAACAAGCTTTATCTTATAGTAAACATCAGCGTCTGATCTGTCTATAAAGTGACGGTGTCTACAAATTTAAAATAGCAATACTGCATACATCTGAAAAAAGAATCATAAGACTAAAATGTGTGATAAATTAGCATCAAGCCATGACCTGTTTAGAAACCCTTTGACCAAGTGCAAAGATCACCAGACCGGGCTGGGTTGTTGACTTTCGCTTACTTTTTTAGAGTGGTCTCCCCTCCCGATACGTCTGATTCACCAAAGCGATTTCTACGAGGCTTCTTTCTATACTTTATCGGATCAACGACATGAGACCAGACGCTTAGCGCGAATTTCGCGAGAGGTGAGATATTACACTGAATGTTTTGGGGGGTTTTAGTATGTAATTCTAACACGACTTTCCTGGTGTGTATCACAAATTAAATGTCTTTTCTTTGAAAAGGCTTCCCTGTCTTGCCGTTGTTTTATCTGTGACAGAAAATCACAGGTGAATACATTCTAAAAATAAATTCACTTTCAATAACAGTACAATACAGATCCAAGATCAATCTAGAGGTCGTTCATGTTTACTGATTTGACCAGAGTTGTTCGTTTATTCCTTGCAAGGCAGTATGACAGGATATTGGCCTTTTATGTGCCTAGTCAGATGATAGTGATGATGAGCTTTGCAGCAGCTCTCTGCCTGGTTGTGATGCTTTTAAGTGAATGGTTACTCTAAGGTAGTTTTTAATCATTGATGAATATAGAAACAGTACGTGAAGGTAAGAATTTTTAGTATAAATGCCTTTGAATGAAATGATTTTCGTTTGGAAAACTCCTATATTTTGCCCCAAAACTAGCAAAAAACTCCTATATTTTGCCTCAAAACTAGCAGAAAACTCCTATATTTGTCGAAAAAATATTCCTATATTATACATATATATTTATATACTATATATATTGAAGAAGACTTGGTTGACAGCCTGATGATGAAATAACTATTCATTCATCCTCAGATACCAATGTTTCATTGTCGTCTGTCATGTGAATAAAAGTTGACCATGAAAAATAGGCCAGGCTATGGAAGTCCAAACTTACAAGTCTTATATTGAAAAAATTATCACTATCTTCTTTTTGACAACCCATTTCAGATTTTATTAGGTCATCAACCAAAAGGGTCAAGATGGCCTGCAGTCATTGTGCTTCATCTGCCATCTTGCGACGTGAGTCATGCGTAAATTTTTTCTTTAAACACTACTCTCTCATATCTAGATGGATTTCAACCAAATTTGGTCAGATGCATGAATTGGTGAGGGTTAAGATTTCTTATTCAGAATTTTTTTATTAGACCTCTAAGGGTTGGTTGTCCCAAAGGGGGAGATGCTTAGAATAGATTTAAAACCCTTTTCCTTTTTGTCTGGGTGGATTTCAGCAAGCTTTGGCCTGATTCATCAGTTAGGGTAAGCAGTTATTTCTTAAATTCAGAAATTAGATTAATTCCCTAAGGACTTTCGGCCTTTTTTGCCTCTTTCATATATAGTTCTTTATAGTCAGGTGACTGTTAAGGCCCATGGGCTTCTTGTACAAATAGCGAGTTGAAGACTGAGAAATGAAAAATGAACTTTATTTAAAAGTTTGTGTAATAAAAAAGAAGTTTATCAGTAAATATAATTCATTTGAGAAAAACAGGATCAAACAATAAAAACTCTTATCTAACCCTTCAGAAAAGATGCACATATGAACAAAAATATCCACAACTTTCCCACCATAAATGTATTTTGATTTTCATTTTCATCTAAATGTCATTCTCGTTCAAAGGATGATTTTATGTAATACATATGTACTTCTGGATCACACTAAGCTAACTCGAGCATCTCCGTGATATAGTGATGTCATCAGAAATAAAAGTGCAGTCACATGTCAGATACACATGTCAATCATTTCAGGTGAGCAAATTTGAGGTCGTATCTGTAGGGTTTTATTTTTTGAAAAATACTGGTATTTCACTGATCAGTTTTTCAATAAATCTTTGATATGAACTCATTTCAAATCTTTTATTTATTTTTTTGGGGCCAGTTCATCAACAAAGCATAGTTAGCGAACAATGATTTCCATATGCCTTTTGCTTTCTTTTGTTTTTTGCTATTATTTTTGTTATTTGTTGGTTTATTGTTTGTCTTCCCCTATCTGATTGTTACAAACACGGTGGTATCTAACATGAATACATACAGGTATTCATGTGTGAGTGTGTACACTCCTTATTATCTATATATTTCCAGTTTCAGCACCTATTAAAAATCAATGATTACCTGGTCTTCCCCCTCTTGTCTCTCTCTCATTCTTTTCTTAGATGAACATACTTCCCCTCCTTACAGTTAACGTTTTTATATCCCATTCCTCCCCTGCCCTCCCCCCTCCCCTGTTGCTAAGCGTGCCTCTGACTACGTCTTTTATCATGACCACGACACCTTCTCAAACACTTACTTATCCTCTGTTCCAGTCTGGAATCACATAATGCCTATTGATGTTTTTCTCTATCGTGTTCGAATAGGTGTCTTCAACAATTTCATTAAATCCGCACATTTTGTTCATTTTGTGACCGTTCCCGACATGTTGTGTATTGCACTACTTTTATTTTTGCTTAATGTCATTATGTTCTATTTACATGTAGGTATTACACCAACCAGAGAGTGGTTGCGCTCATTTTATCATCCTTCATCTCTACTAGCAGTTATTCTTACTCTATTATACCATGCATTGGTCTGTTGGTGTTTGTCAGGTGATGTTCAGCTAAATTCCCAACACGCCTGCCTCTCTTTCGCCATCCAATCAAATGTTTCAAGCATCGCCTTTTGCAGTGACAGACATTTATATATCCATTCTATTGCCTAATATCTCAAATACAAACCCAATATTCATTATGTAAGTGAAAATTTATTATCCTCATCCATTATCATGGCTTCCGACTTTTTGTCACTATCTCTATGCTGTGCACTGGACTATTGGCATTTACTTTTATCTGGAGATATAGAGCTGAATCCCGGTCCCATGTCTTCTAGCTCGTCTTCCTCATCTATACTTTCCGATATTAGTATTCAGCCTGATGTAAAATGTAATTTTCATTTGTCCATTTAAATGTTCAAAGTATCAAACAAAAACTTGATGTTCTATATACCAAGTTAAGTAATATTACAATTTATCCTTTACTGAGACGTGGCTGAGTTTACGTGATATCTCAACTGACCTAAACCTACCTGGGTACTCTGACCCCTTCTGCTATTATAGACCTGATAGAATGGACGGTGGTATAGCAGTTTATGTACAAAATGATATCTCTGCAAAGAGAAGATCAGATTTAGAGATAGCAACCATTGAAAGTGTCTGGTTAGAAATTGTATTAGATTCAGAAAAAATATTATATGGTACTTTTTATCGGCCCCCAAACTCCCGTTATCACATGGTCTCATATCTCGCATTTATAGAAAACACGTATAATACAGGTATTTCTCATATTGTAATAACCGAGGATTTTAATGCAAATGTTCTAGTAGATCACCTTTCTTCTCACTTACGCGATATAATTGTTTCTTTCAATTTAACCCAACTTATCGTTTCACCAACTTTTTATACGGAAGCATCTGAGTCATTGTTAGATATAGTCTGCACTAGTAGTGTTGACCTTATTCATAAATGCTATGTTGGAGAAAGTTTCCTTGACCAACCTGTTAGATACCATTGTCTAATTTATTGCTTTTTTAATATTAAAAAACTAGTGCAGCAGATGTATAAGAGAAACGTTTGACTCAGGAAATTATGATTTATTTAGAGAAAACCTGAGTTCAGAAAATTGGAATTTTTTTAATGATTTTGTTGATATAAACAATGCTGTTAAATATTTCTTAGACTTCCTACTTGATACTGCTAGATTATGTATTCCTAATAAAGTCATAACAATTAGATCGAATGAACCCCCTTGGTTAACTAATAAAATAAGAAGATTAATTCGTAAACATAAACGTGCCCATAGAAAAGCCAAGCGTACCCATGCTGATGCTCACTGGGCTAAGTTCCACCAACTTCGAAACAGTTGTGTTAACACCATTAAGAACGCCAAATTAACTTATTTTTCTAATCTGTGTAGCGAACTTTGCAAACCCTCTGACATTAGTATTAAACAATGGTGGAATATTATAAAGAAACTTCTACCCAACTCCGCTAAATTTTGTATACCACCATTGCATCATAATGATAGTATTGTTTTAGATGATCTTGAAAAAGCTTGTTTATTTAATGATTTCTTTTGTGCCCAGTCTACAGTCGATGATTCAAATGTAAATCTTCCTAACATCGCCGATGTCTGTAATTCTTCCTTATCTGATATTTATATCACATCTAATGAAGTCCGAGATGCTATTCTTACCATGGACTGTTCCAAGGCCATTGGCCCTGACCTAGTAAATCCTCGTCATCTGAAAGAATTGGTTAATATTATATGTTTCCCGTTAAGTAAACTGTTTAAGATGTCAATGAGATCTAGAGTATTCCCATCTATATGGTAATCTGCTAATGTCACCCCTGTACACAAAAAAGATAACAAGTCAAAATTAACTAACTACAGACCAATATCATTGCTCTCTGTCGGTGGAAAATTATTGGAAAGATGTGTTTTCAAATATCTTTACAATTTCTTGCACACTCACTCCCTTCTATCCCCTCTCCAGTCTGGGTTTAGGCTTGGCGACTCACCAACCAATCAACAGTTTTTCAATAAATCTTTGATATGAACTCATTTCAAATCTTTTATTTATTTTTTTGGGGGTAGTTCATCAACATAGCATAGCAAAAATATTGGGCCAAGGATAGTGTGACTGCTTTGAGTAATCAAATACGCATATACAGGATCATTCAAAATACCCGGTAGATATACATGAAGTTCTTTTAAACAGCTGCAACAAAAAAAAATCCTGATCAATACACTATGTACATATTAGTCACCTAGTTTGTAGAATAATGAACAGTTTAAATTCACCGACTCCTCTGACAGACACCATTGCACAATATTTTAATGTATATTTGGTTCATTAATACTTAAATGGTAGTGTCAATACAAGAGGTAGGGTGTATACATCTAAACTGGTCTCAGCCTACTATGTAAATAAAACCAAAGTGATCCATAAAGAGTACTTTTAATACATAGCCTATGATAGCTTGGTAAGTGTGTTGTTATGGGTGCTAGGTATACATTTAAAAGTTATTTTCGAATATTAATGTTAAATGATTTGGATTACTGGGTAATTATGCATGTAAGACAATTTCCAGAACTATGTATCAGGTGATAAACGTGTGTATATATATATATGGAAGTAATGTGAAATTTGATGTTTGATTTGATCTCACTTTTCTTTACCATAGGAAGGATTGAAATCTACTTTTATTTCTTGTTGTAAGTAAAAGGCTATATATATAGTCTGATAATGGAGAAATTTTCATTATAAAATACACAGTACATGTGGTACTGTAATTAAGTTGTGACTTTCCATTTCAGAAGATCATGTCAAGTACCTCCAAGAAACAGGGTGGTTACTTTTAAGAAAACATGGATATCTTCATTTCAAACATTCTGAGGAGTAACTAATAAATTTGCCATTATTAACAATGAAGTATTTGAAGATTTCCTCGCTAGTGCCAAGTGATAGAGACTGGAAGTGTCTGAAAGGCTGTGCCTCTATATCATCTCCTCTAAAGATATTCAAATGTTGCTGTTTTGTGGTAGTGGGAGTGTTAATTGTGGAACTTTTATTCTTTAATCTGTTTGTTCTGTATGGATACAACATGATGAGAGAAAATATTGCACCTGTTCTGAGCAAACAGAGTAATTCCTGGATTGATAAGTTAGCTGAAAGCAAAGTTGTGAGGGATTTTGTGTATGCAGGGAAAGCAGGAGGGTTTGTTTCCCTAATACAACAGACACTGGAGCGTGTTTACGTCACATTTCCAGAGGATGGATCAAAAGGTATGAAAGTCGGAACATTTGGACTAGATGTGTCTCACTCAGGAGAATCACTGTACCTTTATAGACGAATGTCGAGGCGACGAATGTCAATGTATAAACGCCTGGTGGTGGATATTGGTGCCAATGATGGATTTCTATCTAGTAATTCCTTCAACTTTATACAATGGGGCTGGGATGCTGTCCTTGTGGAGCCACAGACCACGCAGCTTCGAATGGCGATGCTCAATTTACGCAGGTAAATTCATTCATAGTATTGGTTGTGGTGATCATATGTATCTACATAGGTAAGGGTACCAGACACTCTCACAATGACTGGTCAGTCTATACAGGTAAGGGTACCAGACACTCTCACAATGACTGGTCAGTCTATACAGGTAAGGGTACCAGACACTCTCACTATGACTGGTCAGTCTACATAGTCAAGGGTACCAGACACTCTCACAATGACTGGTCGGTCTACACAGGCAAGGGTAACAGACACTCTCACAATGACTGGTCAGTCTACATATGTAAGGGTACCAGACAATCTCATAATGACTGGTCAGTCTACATAGGTAAGGGTACCAGACACTCTCACAATGACTGGTCAGTCTACACAGGTAAGGGTACCAGACACTCTCACAATGACTGGTCAGTCTACATAGGTAAGGGTACCAGACACTCTCATAATGACTGGTCAGTCTACATAGGTAAGGGTACCAGACACTCTCACAATGACTGGTCAGTCTACACAGGTAAGGGTAACAGACACTCTCACAATGACTGGTCAGTCTACACAGGTAAGGGTACCAGACACTCTCACAATGACTGGTCAGTCTACACAGGTAAGGGTACCAGACACTCTCACAATGACTGGTCAGTCTACACAGGTAAGGGTACCAGACACTCTCACAATGACTGGTCAGTCTACACAGGTAAGGGTAACAGACACTCTCACAATGACTGGTCAGTCTACATAGGTAAGGGTACCAGACACTCTCACAATGACTGGTCAGTCTACACAGGTAAGGGTAACAGACACTCTCACAATGGCTGGTCAGTCTACACAGGTAATTAGGCTACAGTATTGTTGGTAATGAACACAATGACTGGTCAGTCTACACAGGTAAGGGTAACAGACACTCTCACAATGACTGGTCAGTCTACACAGGTAAGGATACCAGACACCCTTTTTGACATGATATTTGAACCATGCTACCAAATTGAGGAATTGTTACTTGATTTATTGTAAGTTGACTTTAGAATTAAAAGTGTATATAGATAAATAAAAAGTCTTCAATGTAATATTGGATTTTATCATGGAATTATGAGAACTTTCCAAGCAATTATTTATATTGTGAAATGAAAATCAATTCTAAAATTTTGAGCTGATAGTCAACTTCTTTATAATATTGGTATATATGTGTGTGTGTGTGTGTGTGTGTGTGTGTGTGTGTGTGGGTGTGTGTGTGTGTGTGTGAGGGTGTGTGTGTGTGTGTACTGTAAATGTATGCATGTATGCTTGCAGACAGTGTTATTTCAATAGCTCGGAGATGGTTCTAACTGAATGCTTGGCAATATTGAAGCTGGGTTAATGTTTTTGCAATCAGTCACATACATACATCATAAATTAGCAATATACTTTCGAAACGTTTTCAAATTTTACTCTTATAACAGCTCCCTAAGCTAATTTTCATCATCAGATGGAGGACTATCCAAATCGCACTATGTCCATGGTCTGTGATCTGTTTGTCCTTGAACAATTGTTATCACTCTTTCTTGACAGCAGTGGATGGCTCCTTCTCAAATTTCATATGCAGGTTCCCCATTGTCCATAGTTTTGTCTGATTGATGTTAAAACTGATCAGAAAACCCAATTGGCTGACAGGTAGCCATCTTGGATTTTGACATTGAAAGTTTGTTATTTTGGAGAAGAATTAGAGGATCTTTCTCAAATTTCATATGTAGGTTCCCCTTGGTCCCTTGTGCCCATTTGGTTTTGCGACTGATAAGAAAACAAATGGCAGACAGATGACCATCTTGGATTTTGACAATAATTGATTTTTTTTTACCTATGAATTGGATAGATATATTCTCAAATTTCATATAGGTAAGTTCTCATTGGTCAATAGTTGTGCCTATTTGATTTCCGGATTTATCAGAAAAGCAATAGCTGACAGACAGTCGTCTTTGATTTTTACAATATAAGTTTATCACTTTTGTATTGCCACTGTCCTGGATTTGGCAGTTAAAAATCACCATTGCTATTCCTTAAGAGGAATTTTCAAAGTTGATGTAATTAAGAACAAAAAAACAGAGGATAGAAGTGAAAAGATCCAACTTTTAAAGAACAAATAAAAATCAAACAATTGTAGGGCTATTATCCATCTTAGATCCCTGGTTATGTTATGCCAGATATACAACACTTCATCAAGATTAGGGGAAAGGTTTATGTTCTGTGTCCTTGTGTGATATGTGCCTGCCTGTTCCATCATTGTTAACTTGTTCTCATTAGGGCACATAGCCTTTCTCTCTCAGATTGATCCAGGTTTGTGTGGCTAATGTCATTGATGAAACAAGACATTTAGCCCATTGAAGGTCTGGTCTGATTCTTATCATAGTTTTCAGGAGTTTATGTATATTTATTTACATATATATATTTATAGTTCAATTAGATGAGAACTTTGTGTATCGTTTAAATATGTAAACATAAAAGGCCAACAAGGCAAATAAACTTGATTATCGCTAACGTTTTCAAGCCGTGCAGCTGTCTTCAGGCGATTACTTTAATGTCTTGATAACAACATTATGACGTAATACAATCAGTAATGAAAATGTTAGCGATAATCAAGTTTATTTGCCTTGTTGGCCTTTTATGTTTACATATTTATACATACATATATATTTTTTTTTTATTTGAGTTTGAATTATGATTCCACTGACTTATCAATATTTTCCTGTGTTTTCTTGAATGTTGAAAACTGATTTTTATGACCCAATAGGTATAATAATCCTTATCAAGATGGCAACCAGACAGTCAGATTTGTGGAAGCAATCATCAGTAACAAAGATGGCATGGTAGACTTTGTGAAAGCCAACGACTTTGTGTCAATGGAAAGCCATATCCTTCAGGAGAAAGACCTACACAAAAAAGACCTACACCAGAACTTAATCCATGTCCCAAGTATGAGTGTGAAGAGCTTTGTCACGAAATACAACATCCCTCGTTACTTTGGAATTCTGTCTATTGATGCTGAAGGTGCCGGAAACACAGTAAGTTTACCTACTTGTTAAAATTACATCCAATAAATGTAACTTTACTATTATCATTATCTATTTGAGAACATGAACATGCCTGCTGACTTTCTACCCAGTCTTGGTAGATTCCTCAAATCATGTTTTTTCTTCCCACATACCCCTTCCCACAGATTTGAACAATTTCCAATCTCTAGGGTGACCTGTTCCCATTTCCAAAGTGACCGGAGGTCATTCCTATCTCTAGGGTGACTTAATTTGATCAGGTCGTTCCCATTTCCAAGGTGACTGGAGGACATAGCCCAATCTCCAGGTTGATTTGTTCCAATTTCTAAAATGAATTGTTTCCATTCTTAGGGCGACTAGTTCCCATCCCCATGTAGACTACTAATAAGATAAGGTGCTCACGATCAAACGCAATAAAATTTTAAAAAGTTTGTAACTCACCAGATGGCAATAGACCTTGTTGATGAATTATGTTCGATGTTAAAGCTGCTCAATCTCATCAAATTGCCAGACGACATTTACTTTTAACCAAATACATAGACTAGTTGTATACACCTCTCATTTGGCAGTATTCAGAGGACAGTTTACAATCAAAATGATATCTGCCTGACGGGGTAAAAGAAACAGAAATGTTTATAATCATTCTTTAACAAATTAAATTGATTTCTAGTATATTAGATTAATGGCATGTTATGACATATTTTAACAGATCCTGCACAACTTCATTGACCTTGGCTACCGACCAGCATACGTTGTCTACGAGGATTTACATGAACATAGTTGGGAAAGTCCTGCAGAAACTGTAGAATACTTAGCTGGGAAAGGGTACCGTTTCCTGTCCAAAAAAGGCTGGAACAACATCCTAGAACACACAACAGATGTTAATGATGTACATGTGTAAAGTTTATAACACGAGCAATGTTGGTAACTATTAATACATTAAGGCACCTCTAAACAACATGGACTGGTTTATCTGAAATGCTTCAGATATTTGATAATGCTTATATAATTAATTCATAAATATACAAGAAATGAAGATAAATCTAGCACCTCATAGATTTTAAACCAACATACAACTTTCACTTATAAGGTAAACCTAATACATTGATTTATGTGTAAGGCATGCAAACAAAAGTTATGCTTGTCACGGTTTCCTTATAAAATATTTGTTCAAGCCAAACAATATAATTTTTACCAGAACATAAGGAAAGTATTGAGGGCTACCTTTATTTTCCAAATTGTGCTATAAGAATGATATTAAAAGTAAACCTTAGGCATTGATAAATAGCTATTGCATAATTGTGATACATGGATATGTCTAGTTATTGTTTTTTAATTTTTTTTAACACCCATTCATTTGGCTACCGATATTTGTGGGTATTTTGCTCCGTGAGAAACTTGTTCTAGTTTTGATGCCTGTGGTGTATATGTTTGTGAGTATTTTGTTACATTTTACATTTGGATGCAATAACTTCATAAACAATGACATGCAAGTTATAGTTAGTGTTTTTTACATATGCATCCTCAACATCAAGTTTGTCTGGCAGTAAATTAAATGATATTATAAAAGTGTAAATTGCATATTTAATCTGCCCCATTCAAGGGACTATACACATCTATTTTCCCAGCCTCCCAAGAATTTTACTTCTAATAAATCTGGTGTACATATTGAATTAACAGACTGGTACTAACTGTGATTACTACAAAGAACTAAACAGTGTATTATCTCTATGTGGTTTTCAAAAGCATGTATTTGTTCTCCAAGACCCTTCAGATATTTTTTTAAATGTATTCTTATTTCATATGTCTGGATGGTTTGTTTAAATTTTACATCTGTTATCACCAGGAATTCACTAGTCTCCACAGGGCTTGTTATAGTCATGAATTCACTAGTCTCCACAAGGGTTTGTTATAACCATGATTTCACCATTTTCTCTTGGGGTTTGTTATAAAAATGAATTCGCCATTTTCCCCTGGGGCTTGTTATAACAATGAATTCACCATTTTCCCCTTGGGCTTGTTATAAAAATGAATTCGCCATTTTCCCCTGGGTTTATTTATAACCCTGAATTCACCATTTTCCTCTTGGGTTTATTTATAACCCTGAATTCACCATTTTCCCCTTGGGTTTTTTAATGCCATGAATTCATCAGTCTCCTTAGAATTTGTTATTATCATGAATTTACCACTCTTCCCTTGGGTTTGTTAAAATCATAAATTCACTGCCCTTGGGGTTTGTTAAAACCATAAATTCAATGCCCTCCCCTGGGGTTTGTTATAACCATAGATTCAGTGCCCTTCCCTGGGGTTTGTTATAACCATAGATTCACTTCCCTCCCCTGGGGTTTGTTGTAACCATAGATTCACTTCCCTCCCCTGGGGTTTGTTGTAACCATAGATTCACTTCCCTCCCCTGGGGTTTGTTATAACCATAGATTCACTTCCCTCCCCTGGGGTTTGTTAAAATCATAAGTTCACTTCCCTCCCCTGGGGTTTGTTATAACCATGAATTCACTTCCCTCCCCTGGGGTTTGTTAAAACCATAAGTTCACTTCCCTCCCCTGGGGTTTGATATAACAATGAATTCACTTCCCTCTCCTGGGGTTTGTTATAACCATAGATTCACTTCCCTCCCCTGGGGTTTGTTATAACCATAGATTCACTTCCCTCCCCTGGGGTTTGTTGTAACCATAGATTCACTTCCCTCCCCTGGGGTTTGTTATAACCATAGATTCACTTCCCTCCCCTGGGGTTTGTTATAACCATAGATTCACTTCCCTCCCCTGGGGTTTGTTAAAACCATAAGTTCACTTCCCTCCCCTGGGGTTTGATATAACAATTAATTCACTTCCCTCCCCTGGGGTTTGTTATAACAATGAATTCACTGCCCTCCCCTGGGGTTTATAGTAATTATGCATTTATCCATTAAAACTTCTTCATGTTTTGTTTAAATCTTGTTAACCATTATACCTATGTTTCAATAAAAGCCCCATCGTTTATAATTTTTGCCTTAATGGAGGCAGTGCAACATTGTTATACATGTGATGTAGATATCAGCTGTATTATGTTTATATAACAAAGATATTAAGTTGTGAAGGTGCCTATTATTTGTTTTGTTTATTTGGAAATCCATAAATATTGTGTATGTATTTATTTATATGAAATATAGATATGAAGAAAAAAACAGGTGCTTTTGGATTGTTATAATAATTAGACTTGCTGTTTTTTGTTCCTATTGTTGATGTAAATGTATCTCATTACATACTTCAGTGTATTTGTTACAGGAAATTCATTATCATCGTTACCGAGTCTACTGATAATCTTTCTCGTAGATCGTTGTACGTAGGATTGATAGCTAAAAATCATTCATGTTGTTGTTTCTATCCATCATTAAAGTTACACTGTACTAGGACTTCAGTTCCTAAATGAATTAAAAAAACACTTTCTTTAATTTTTTTTTCTATTTTCTAAAGTATAAACTAGGAGATGAGCATGGAGTATAGATATTACTTGACAGTTATATATACCTATCAATATTTTTTCCATTTGATACATGCATGTGTACTTTTTCTATCTGTACATTTATTTTTTCACATTGATGTCAAAATTCAATTTATTGTAACAATGACCAGTGAAGTGACAAGTGTGAAGTTTCAGATAAAATCAAATCAAAATGAAATGTGATGTGTGTCATTATATTGACGGCATGTGTTTGTGAGAATATCTGATACATGTAGCACAGTGTAGTCCAAGTGACTTGTTGTAACAGTGCAACATATTATCAGCATTATTAATTTATATAAATCATGTATCATAAAATAATATGTAGATATTTACAAGGGATCCAATAGTTACTGTTGTAAATTGTATTTCTTCAGATCTAAATAGTGCCTTTCAGTTTTAGTTACATGCATAATGACTTCTAATTATCTGCCGCCAATGAATTTTTACTTTTTATACCAATGCATGTGTAATAATAACGAAATATCAGCTATACATGATCTTTAAATATTGATATATGTTGCCCTATTTAACTAACCATATCATTGATTTAAAATATATTATTTTTAAACACAATTGATAAACATGCTTGATTATACTGGTTTTGCCCAACTTTCGCCACTGTTACATAATTCCTTCACAGTATGTAAGCTGAAACATGTTTGCTGCCAGCACAGTGGACAAAAGAAGAATATAACGATAAGAAACCGGACTACAACAGCTGCATTTATTTTTTAATAACGAGAGAATTCTGTACACACTTTTTTTTGTCTTTTTTCAACTCTTCATTCATTTTTTTTGTTAAATGATTTAAATACTTTTAAAAATTATCATGAGGTATGCTGTCAATACCAGGTGGTCTGTAGACCTAGATTTTGTCCATTTAATGAGGTTAATCAGATGATTCATACCAGATTCAGAACATCCTGGTTTCTTTTTGACTTTTTCCTTTTGACAAAGTTATCTTTGAATTAATTTGATCAAATTTGGTGATATTGTACTTTTACATTTCTTTAGATATACATCCATCATAACTCAGTAACTTTTCCAATGATCCTTCAGCAGTGGTGATGTTTGTTGGTTTTATATACTGCCTACAGTGCCATTCCAAAATATTGGCAACTGAGCAACACAGCACCCCACTGACCTTTTTTTCTTCCGAAGTAAAGTGATAAACAGAAAGTAGCCCAAAGAGTGGTCTTTGGATGAATTTGCAAAAATGATCATGTCTCCTAAAGTTGGAACATTATCATACTGGTAATTGAAATTGATAATTTATCTAGTAAAGCAGAAACACAGCATACATCTTCTGTGATAAAACATCTAGTGAAGTACATTCCAATATACAGCAATATAATCTAATAATTATATTCAGTATGTCAAATGAAGGTCGACACCATTTTAATAAAATTTGAATTCTTACAATGTCTATAAGCATCTCCATGTCAATTGCATCCTTCTCAGGATACAGTTCACATTGTGCAATAAGCCCAGGTGCCAACACAGTCAGGACAACGAAATGTTATTTGTTGGAAATTCTGCATTAATATGTTCGGGTGGACTTATTACCGGAAATGGGATTGTTGTCGGATAATTTTGGTACACATTATATACATATCTTGTCATTTGTACATTTATTTCAGATACCCTCTATACATATGTAGTAAGTTTTAGGTTCCATTCAAATTTCTCTCATGTTATATACATGTACTTGTATGTATAAATTTTTTTTTTTTTTTTTTTTTTTGATATTATTTCATTTCCCTGAATCTTTGGTAAAAATGTGCAATTTACAGAAAAGGAAGTTTAACAGCAGTTTGTTTACGAATTGTTTTAATATATACATATATCTTCCTCATATGTGTAAATATAATTAGTTTAACAATGTAATTAATTTGAAATGTGTTCATACATGTATTTTTATTTTATACCATTGAATTGAACCATCTTTGCCTTTTTGCCTCCACAGCGTTATATATTGTTTTTCCATGTATCATTGGTTATGTTTTACTGACCTTAGATATTGAACAAAATTTATCGCAGACCAGATTTCCTTTGTGATGGAAAAAGTGATGAAAAATGCAGGAGTTAAAACTAGGATCCTTTTCCTCCGAAGGTAGACAGTTAATCCTCAAAACCCTCAAAACCAACGAAAATAAATGTCCCACAAAAATGAATGATTTCACAGTAAAAACTCCTATTTTCATATGGGATATATGTAGAATATTGGATGATATTACTTTGAAACAATTTTCTGAAACAAAGGGATAACCATAACTACCTGGTAGATAGAATCATCAGGAATCATCTTATCTAATGTACATTGTCTTTAATCTTAGATACAAAAAACCATATGTAACTACGGTAATGATAGAATTCACATTGATAATGTGGAAGGTCTGTCACCATGTTATTGTGTCTTAATATCAATGTAATCAGGAGCTTGTAAGGAGAAGGATCCATCAGACGACAATGAAACAGATTATGGAGTTAAAATATATTATTTTTTTGTATTTGCTATATTTACATGATATTAATTGTTTTTTTTTTGTTTTTTTTTTTTTTTGTTCTCTCTCTTTAATAAAGATTAACTTACAAGTGAATCATGTTGTTATGTCTATGATCTTGCTTGTTCTCAGCAAACTGATTTCTTATCTTTCATATTGATTTCTCATTCATACCCATTACTATCTTATAATCAATTCACCAGTCAGTGAAATAAATAACTATGAGAAAAGAAGAAAAAATGAACTTACTTATATACAGTAAAACTAATGATGATGGACAGCAAGACATCTTTGTGATGTCTTGTTAAGCAGGTGGTCCAACAATATTTTACTTGACAGGTCAAGCAAGTTTTGGAAGACACTAAGTACATGTAAGTTCAGTCATTCTGTATCCTATTCTTGAACACACAGGACTTTATATAGCAGATGGTATTGATGAAGCAGAAGACACTTACTCTTCCAGAACACCTGGTCTTATTAAACTTATACATTTTGAGGAATCTCCTTTTAAATCTTTCTTTGATTTTTTTTAATTGAGTTTTGATTATGACTGTTGACATGTTGGTATTTTCTTTGCTGTTTTTTCAGGAGTCTCCATGTAAATCTTTCTTTTGGTCGGGTGGCGCAGTGGTAACACACTCGCCTTTCACCTAGCCGTCTGGGGTTTGATTCCCGGAATGGAAGTGAAAAGGTATGAGGTTACCTGCCTGACCACGTGGGTTTTCCCCGGGTACTCCGGTTTCCTCCCACTTTAAGACCCCTCGCACACTTCCATCTAAGCCAACAAGAGTGATTAATATAAGTTGGGAAAATTTGCTTCACAATTGTTGTAAAATAAATCAGTTTATATATATATATATATATATGAAATCTTTCTTTCGTTCATTTTGCCCTGATTTTATTGAATTTGAGTTTGGATTATGATTCTGTTGACATATTGGTGTTTTCTTCGGTGTTGCTATGTTAGGCCGTATATTAAGTCTATTTCTGTAAAGCACACAACTGAGTAGTTGTCATGGAAGCACATTGATGCGTAGCTTGGAGAATATGTGCCTAGGAAGCATACTTTGTATATAGGGTGGCAGTTATCCATCTATGATTTTGAAAATTGAATATCATTTTATCCATTTCTGAAAACGTTGAGTGGGCCTGTGTGATTTTCATTAATTATCATCTGTCCATATTTCACTGTTTATTTAAAAACATCCAATATTGGATATTGGCAAATAATAGCTCCTATAGAAAACTTCAGGTTTGCCCAGTGTTAAATTTGCTCTTTATTTTGCCCAGTGTTAAATTTGCTCTTTATTTTGCCCAGTCTTATATTTGCTCTTTATTTTGCCCAGTCTTAAATTTGGGCTTTATTAGATACAATTATTTTAACTTCAAACTGCAGCAAAAGTTTATCTGCATCCAGTACTTTGAACACTGAAAACAAGAACATGTTATCCATTTTAATGCTTTATATACAATAAATAACCCAATGAAATATTCAAATCAATATATGTTAATATTTCCAAACAAACCCAGAAGACAATCCATTGTTTTCTTTCAGACAATTTTCATGAAGAGAATATTCTGCCACCATCTTTAAATCTGACTTAAGTGGATGTTGTTCGAAAGGTAGTCGACCTGGATCCCCAATGAACACAGCTACACCTTTGTTGTGAAGGGAGACCACCCATCTTGTTATGGTATCCGCGAAATCCACATTGTAGAACATGTCTCCTAGCAACACTATGTCCCATCTATTGTCATGGCAACCAATGAGATTGGTGGTTATTGTAGCTTGAGAAATATTGTTCAGTTCTGCATTTAAAGAAACTGCATTTGCTGCAACTGAAACACAACATACAAGTCTTCAATTTATATCTTACACGGAATATTTAATTGTAATGAAAACAAGTCTTGGCATTCACTAAGTTCCATAGTTCAAAGTATCACAGTTAATTTGAATACTGTATTTATCCTGAAATGAGCCCCTTAGTGGCCAATATAAAAACTCTTATCTAAAGACTGGGATGTGCTTATTGCATCAGCCGGAGTTTATTACCAGACATGGGCTTATTCTTGGATAAATATGGTAAGGAATATGAGAACAGGTATTTATAAACACAAATTATCTGCCATAGCTACCACAGGTATTATTCAATTTAATTAGTAACAATACATTTACTTTGACTGTGTAAACCTATTGAGGCAATTGGCGTTGATAAGTAACATAAAAATTTATTCTTTATCTCTGTTCTAACTATGTATGTTAAATCTTTTCTATCCAACAATAAAGAATTGAAAAAGGACCTATGTTTAAGTATGTTGCTCCTTTCATCTTCTTCTGAATGGAATTACTAACAAGGTCCTGGTTGTTCAAAACTTGGCAAGAGTATATCCATGGCAAGTGAAAACATCTCAATTGTCAGTGAAAAATACCAGGATTCATACAGTTTCAAAGAAAGTTTAACGCTCAAAATATATCAATTTGACCGGTCTTGACAAATACATAACTGTGAAATGATGAAGAATGTCGTTAATTTTTTCACTAACATGCTAGCTACATGCAGCTCTAACCAAGCTCTGAACAAGTGAGGTTATATATCAATTTAAAATGTTATTAGTATCATAAAGAATTATAATTTTAGCAGATTTCCTACCTGTGTCAATGTCATTTGCTATGACACGAGATGCGCCAACCATCTGACAAGCTATAGAAGAGGCTCCACATCCACAACCAACATCTACTACTGTTTTGCCAATGAACAGATCAGTATTGTCCAGAATGAATCTACAACAAAGGCAAAATCTTAACAGCTACTACAACTGGCCGATGATTACACAAGGGTGTTAAGTTTTGACCTTCGACAAATTAATCCCCTGACCATTGAGGACATGTTACCTGTTCAGTGTCTGCACTCTGACCAATGACTAGATATTTGGTAAGTGACTGAGCCATTTACAAAGATTATATATTATCCGGTAAGTGCCTGCAGCCAAACAATCACTATGTAACACAAGTGTCTGCCTCCCCCTCATTCATGACTATATATTATCAGGTTAAGTGTCTGCCCCCTCACCCATGACTGTATATTATCAGGTTAAGTGTTGCCCCCTCATTCATTACTATATATTATCTGGTTAAGTGTCTGCCCCCTCACCCATGACTATATATTATCTGGTTAAGTGTCTGCCCCTCACCAAGACAATAATATTACCTGGTAAGTGTAAGAACCATGACCAATGACTAGATGTTATTTGGTTAGTGTCTGTCCCATTGATCAATGACTATATATTACTTAGTTAAGTGTCTGCCTACTCACCAATGACTATATATTACCTGGCTAAGTGTCCACCCTCTTATCAATGACCATACCTGGTAAGGGCCTGACCTCCTGGCCAGTAAAATGCCCAGAAAGGATCAGGAAATGGACATTCATCTCCACGGCTGTGCCACAAAGGGCAATTTGGTGTGAGAAGGTGAAGGGCAATCTCTGGGGTAAGATGATCACGAGACACCTCAGTTATTTCTTTTATTAAATCATGTGTAGATGTTTGGGTCTGTGATGAGTCAGAGGAATTGTACTTTCTTGGGTGTATGTAGGTTTGTTGGTAACCATATTTCCTGAGTTGGGTTTTCATAAGACTAGAACACACTTTTATACACGAGTAAGGCCTCATGCCCGGCATCTTAATGACATTAGAAGACTTCTACTCCACCAGGCACACAGCTTTAATCCATTATCAACTCTTACAGCATGACATCATTCTCAGTAATCATCTTGTCATGAAAAAAAGAAAAAAAAAGATCAATGGCTGATATTGTGTGTGATCCATGTTTCATTTGGCAAAACTTGAGACTTATACAGATAATTATTATGAAATAAATACCCCAGTTCTCCCTCTTATGGAAATGGAGCTACATACAAAGTGTAATGAGGAAAACTCTTTGAACTAAAAAAAGTCAGGTAACCAAATAGTAAGTGGATTCTGGCTTACAAGAGTAGTAAAACCCTTTTGAAAATAGCTTTTTGCAACTATTGTGTCTCTAACAGATTCTGTCAACTGAAACCATATAGTAATAAAAGACAAACAGAAAAATATCCCATTCTTAACACAGAAGGAATGATGGTCCTTTGATAAAATTGGTGCCAAACACAATTTAATTCTAAAATGGACATGTCCATATGATATAAGCTATCATAAAGCTTTACATGCATTCCTTTAAATTATTTATACTACATATATGTGTGTGCGTGTGTGTGTATGTGTACAAGTACAGATCCCAAGTAGTTAATGAAGACACCTTTAAACAAGTACATGTCAAACATTTTATAGTTTCATTACTCTTACATCTAGATGTAAATATCGGTGCCTTTGGCTTCACTAAAAAGTTATTGCAAATTAAGGAGTATATTCTACAACTGATGTATGAGGGTTAAGGCAAGGAGGGGGTAACCTTTGTTGATATCTCATAAGCTACAGCATAAACCTGCTACATGGACCAGATTCTACAACATTTTATCAAAGCATTTATTTACTTATTTTACTGACATTTCAATGTCTCTCCAAAAGTGATTGGCAACAGATCAAAAGACCTCTGTATAATTACTAGACTTAAAATCAACTAATTAAGCTCCAAAGAACACTACCATAGTGGAGAGTTACCATGACTAATCTTGATAGGTCAAAATTTTAATTTAAAACTTTTCCTGGTATTGTCTATATTATTAAGATGCTGTCAAGATACATAACTATAAAGTATGCAGTTTGATATGTAACGATTATAAATGTAAGATGACTGATATCACATCAATGAATGGTTCTTTTATTATTCAGAAGCCTAAGTTCGTGAGAATAAACTGTTTATAGACCTTGGAAATAAACTATATATTTCACTATAGCCAAATTGGAGTTGTCTCCCCTGCACAGGTCATCAAATTTTATCCCAGGTTGTATCGACGAGCTACATCAATCACAAAGGGCTAACAATGACAGATATACATTAATAAATATAATTAAAGCTATTATTAGCTGAACAATATTCTCAAATCGAAAGGCATTTCGTGTTTGAGGGGAATCGCAGGTACCAGCCTCATCTGTCAAAACAGGTAGTGTATTGTCCATTGACAGACAAATCTGCGTCCCGATTAGAGAATTTCATATCGCCCGCCTACTTCCCAGATAAATCCAATGAAACTCAATGTTACTTAGTTCAATAATTATTATCTGATAAGATGAACGATTCCTGTCAGACGCTGTCATTCCGTTTTAATATCGAATAACGACAGGGCTAATGTTAAAGTATCAGGCTGTACCGATTCCGGAAGTATTGAAAGAGTCAATAAAGTAGGGTACGGTAAGTTGAGAGAGCATTTCCGGAAATCTTCAAAACTTGTCAATAGCACAAGCATTTTCCATGATAACACTATATTGCTAAAATAGCTACTGTATACGGGAAGTGTAAAAGACAAAAGACCACAGGTGATTGTGTACATAATTTTTTTCCAAATTAAATGTGGTAAGCTAATTGAGAATAAACCATTTTAACTTCAAAGCTCAAAAATAACAACCCACGTAGTTATATTTAAAAAAAAAACAAGCAAAAGTATTAACGTGGGCTGTTGTCAAATCACTGTCTCATTGTTTCAGGAAGCTCTACAGTAACAATGGAAACACTAATTGAGAAATTTATATATTTGTCATACTCATTATAAAATCCCAAAATGTTGGGTGTATCTGCAGATGTGTACCTTTGGAGAGATGATATGGAAATTAGCTTCATTCCATGCCAAACATTACTGACACATACAACTACCTGATTATTGATACCAAACCGATATTACTATAAATTCTTTGAACATGGCTATGTTTTATTGGCATAACTGAATGGGCATGTGTATGGTTTTATTTGAAATTATATGTGTACAAATTACAGTAAGCTTCAAACATAAAAATATTGAATGGAACATGCTTGTTTAGAAATAAAATTTGTTTCGTGTGTGTAAAGTTTGTTCAGTTTACAGATATGGATGTATAATTGAGGAAGGATTTGCATGCCACTAGAGTTAATACCACATAAGGGACATACATGTCTTCGTGTTCATCAGGTCACACATTCATTATAGTCAAGCACTGGTAGAAGAAGGACAATGTGTGATTCCTTGTGATTTTTGAGTATTACACACACGAAAAATCGGCACTTTCACAGGATCTCTTTTTTTCAGACTAGTTTTCCTTTTTTCCAGGCAAGATTTAGATTACCAGTATAAAAATAAAATAAGGGGCAGTAACTCTTAGAAATAAAAGCCATATAAAGAAAAGGTGTTCAGAAAAAAAAAAAAAAACATTAACTTTGTGACATGGTGATTAATCCTACCAAGTTTAAAACAAATAGACTGAAACCTGTGGATTGAGATATATGAACAAGATTTAAATTATGACAAAGCAAAGGGCAGTAACTCTACTAAAGATAATCAAATCAAATTATCATTCAGGAAAACATCACTTTACATGTGTGTCTTGGTGATTAAAGCTTACCAATTTGAAAGAGATCAGTTAAAGTACAGGAGGAGACATGAAACAAGTAATCCTTTACTCAGGAGGTAAGGACGTCTTACCGTAATATGCCCCATTAAAACTTTGACAGCACATATATAAAAACTTACATTTACATGTGCATTACACTTGTTACATTTAGTGTTAAAAGTGATACTTCAACTTTGGTCTTCAGTATTTAAGTACTTGATTGTTTTAGTGAAAATGATGTCTGTATCCAACAAGTTGTGTTACTGGTCTTGCATTATGTGACATTCACCATTTTATCATGGGACCTGTAGTATTGGTCTTTTATCATACAAGAGCAAAAGTTGAAGTCAGATCATTTTCTGCAGTTGCATTTACATGGGAATAACAGTTTTGCAGAAGAAAGAGTTCAACTCAAATCTGACATATTTAACAAATTTATTCTTTAATGATCTGTGTATACATACTTTTTACTGGTAAACAGTACAAAGGAATGTCAATCTTAACAGTTACATAACAGTCTCTTCATCTTAAACCACATATGTCTACACCACAAAATATTGCACTGATTTTTTACACTGGTAGCTATTCCCCTAAACAGACTAAACAGACAAGATTGAAAACAACATAAATTACAAAAGAAGAAAAGACAAATCTTTATAAAACGTCTTTTACAAGGTGAGAGAAAATGAGAAACCTCTTGGTCTGTACAAGTAAGTAATATGAAGAAGAAAAAAAGAAGAAAAGCAAACATTATAATGGGCAGTTAAAATTTGTTGATGTCTTTATGAAACAAGTTGTTTAAGCCAATGCTTTTCTATTTGTAACGTAATAAAACAACACATTGACAGTTACACCTCCTAGGATTAAACAAACACATTTTCAAAAATATTGACATATATATTTATCAATTCTTTCATTTTGAAAATTAGTTTTAAGGAAAAAGTTAATAGACATCAGAACAAAAAACTTAAACATAAAAACAAATCAATGGCCCTTTCTGAAAACATCAAACCTCTCACAACAAGTGTATTTGTGAAGGACAGGTAATACTACTGTATCATATCAGAAATTTAAAGCAAACACAAGGAAGAATGATTCACCAAAATTTTCATGACATTAAAAATCTTCTCTGAAACTTCTCATCAAATTTAGGAAGATGTTGTAATGCTAAGTCAGTTGTGTTGATTTATAAGATAATTTATCTACTTGGTAAATGCTTACCAATCAAAATCATATTATAAATACTTCAACATCCATAAGTTAAACTCAATTAAACTATCTAATTATGTCTGTTACATTTGCTCATGAATTTTAGAAGCTGGTTAACACTGCATGTACTTAGAATATGTGTCTAACTTCAAACCATGTACAAATGTAACTATTATACACAGTAGCTATACAGACATATATGAATGGTTTTTGTTGAAATAACAAAGTATTGACAGTTTAAGAAATAACATTTATCAAATGTAACGTAATTCAGATTGTTTTGTAATGACACATTTATCATTAAATCACTAGCTGTATTAAGAAATATTTATTGGAAATAGTGAACAGGCCAGACTATAATTTTAGGTAGACTAGTTCCACTATTTAGTACTGTGGTAACATACAGTGCACCAAAAACTTTGTCCAGACATGCACACTATACCATCCTTGATACTCCTGGGGTTACCATCACATTAACTCTCTGCACCCCTGGAATATGTCCTGGCACAATTCAAGGTACAAATGAAGTAATTTCATTGGTTCAAGGATGAAAATTTCACTAATCCCAGGCTGATATCCTTTTTGAAGATTACATCGGAACGACGGCCAACTTCAAAGCCATTACAATATACCATTATGCGACCCCGAGATTAGTTTGATGTACATCAAAGGATCCACAAAGTGTCGCACACGGAACCATTAATTTTGCTATGACATATTCCAGTGGTGCAGAGAGCAAAAGTGACCATAACCCCTGGAGTATTGAGGATGGTGCTTTATCTAACCAGCGGGCAACTGTGCAACAGGACTGCACATTTTGTGCGATTTGGTTATCATGATTGACGAATATTATAGATTGGAAATTTAATGGAAAAACTCCTGCAGTTATGACTAAATAGCAACACTGAAGGCATATTAAAGAGTAACCTCTGATTATATTGATAATTTTTAATTTGACAGTTTCCAAAATAACATTTCTTTTCTGACTGTATAACATTATAGATGATTCATTGCTGAGACAAAAAGAGACGTCATTTAATGTCAGACTGGTCACATGTGCCACTTTGTAAGCAAAGCACATGAAATTACATACTGGTATATAAGTCTATATATCTATTCAGTCTGTACCTAATATACTTACCTGTACTCTTATATATTTTGAAAATACATCAAACCTATTCCACTCTTATCTATAAGTCATTTCTAAATTTATATCAACCACATTAGAATTGTACATTTATGCCCACAGATGTGCAATATCTGGTTTCATCTAGTTTTCCTATTGTGCACGAAGTGTTCATACATTGTAGAATGTTGTGCAATTCCACAGTTGTAATTGTATTAAGACTCCTAAAGCTCCATTTATCATTATGATCAAGACTGACAACGTAATTTTGTGTAAAAGGCTTTCAACGTCTAGTAATTGTATCAAGACTCTTAAAGCTCCTATTATCATTAATCAACAAGAGTTTCATTCATATATCGGCACTAAATTTTGCTCTGTTAACTACATAGAGTGACAAATCCAATTGAGTAAAATTCAACCTGAATTACCTCCTTACAATAAGATTAACAGCACAAGATTCATTCCTGAATTCAGCACAGTTTCATATCTGGCAAAACATCACACAGCTGAACATACCGACAACTTGTCCATTATAAACCAAATCTGTGTCAATGTTCTGATATCTCGATAATATGATTACATTGTAATATCAAATCAATTACAATCATGTCATTCAAATCTTGATTTATGTGGTTTTCTTCAATGTCAAGAATTTTTAGTTAAAAGAAATCATATTAAAAATATGAGAATGGATAGAGCAACCAGCAAGTTATCATTCGTTGATAATTAGAGTTTTAGATGTCAAGGTCATATGTTAGACATGGAGCCTCTTAATTCAGATCTATTTATAGTAAATCATATCAGGAGAATCACAGCCATATGTTCCAATCACTTCAAGATTTGAAAAGGACACGCTGTTACAGGATAGACTATTAAAAAAAAATATCAAACCCCAAGTACAAAACAGTGATTGTTTCTGTGTCCTCTTCATTCTATTGAAAGTAAAGTCATTAAGTTAGGGCCAACCATTTCAAAGTTGGAACTAAAATTACATATTGAAATCATTACACAAAATAAATATACTTTAGACTTTTCCAGAAATAACAGTACCTAGTTGTTAGAATAACATAATCCTAATTTCAACTCATTCACAATAGTTCTGGCAGTTTTAAAGCTGGTAAAGTAGAGTCTACACAGTTCACCCAGAAGTTAGCACAAGCTGCATGATACTGACGTCCACCATATGTCAATTTGGGACAGTCATTCTCGCGACTGAAGTTTTTACTAGGCACATCCACGTCCAAGAGACACACACCACAAGCCCTTCTTTGAGACAGGGAGTCATCTGACTTCAAAACGGCATTGTTGAAACGTAGAGAGTTGTCATCCGGCTAAAAATTAAATAAGATGGTTATATTGCAATAGAAATAAACATAAACTTGTCCGTATGTTTAAACAAGAGAGTTATCTTCAAACTAAAAATTAACTAATGAAATAATCATCAGAATAAAAAGTAACTTGTCTGTATGTTGGGATGGAGAGAACAGCCCTTCTGTTATTTAGACTGAAGAACAAATAAATTACGCCAATTAACAAATAAAATGGTTTGAGTTAAGCACAACTGTATGAATGAATGCTTGTACTGGTAAAGTCAGTGTGCTGATGAGGAGATAGAATGAAGTTGTAAAGAGGTTTAGAATTATAACAGATAAAAACAATTATATAAATTATATAGCTAAATATTATTATTTCAAATCTCATTGATTATGTTAACCATGGTTGACCAAGGTAGATAGGATACTGACCATGGTCAACCATGGTAGATATAGTGTAAATTGTGGTCAACCCTGGTAGATATAGCGTAAATTATGGTCAACCCTGGTAGATATAGTGTAAATTGTGGTCAACCCTGGTAGATATAGTGTAAACTGTGGTCAACCATGGTAGATATAGTGTAAATTATGGTCAACCATGATCGATATAGTGTAAATTGTGGTCAACCATAGTTGATATAGTGTAAACTGTGGTCAACCCTGGTAGATATAGCGTAAATTATGGTCAACCCTGGTAGATATAGTGTAAACTGTGGTCAACCATGGTAGATATAGTGTAAATTATGGTCAACCATGATCGATATAGTGTAAATTGTGGTCAACCCTGGTTGATATAGTGTAAACTGTGGTCAACCATGGTAGATATAGTGTAAACTGTGGTCAACCCTGGTAGATATAGTGTAAATTATGGTCAACCATGATATATATATTGTAAATTATGGTCAACCCTGGTATACCACTTTGACCATGTTTTTTAAAGCATGGTATTTCATGGTAGACAATGATCTTTCATGGTTGACCATAAAAAACCATGGTGGAATTTCACAGTGATGATATTTCAACCCGACCTTCAATTACTTGTCAATTAATCAATGTTTTACTCCCAAATTAGACTGCTCCTATTCTGTAATGAACCCAAGGGACTTAAACATAACCTATAAATCAAAGTCAGGAAAAGAATTCTTTACAGGATGTAAAACAGATATCAAATCCAAATTACTATGAATCTTTATACTTCTATTACTACTAACAATATCATAGACATGGTGACTCAGTGTTACCAATGTTAGGTTGTAATGTGTAGGCTTAATAAGAACAATTATATATACTAACCATGAGATTACCTCCGACAAGGATACCAATGTTAGGTTGTAGTGTATAGGCTTAATAAGAACAATTATATATACTAACCATGAGATTACCTCCGACAAGGAAAGCTGTCAGGTTGTAGTGTATAGGCTTAATAAGAACAATTATATATACTAACCATGAGATTACCTCCGACAAGGATACCAATGTTAGGTTGTAGTGTATAGGCTTAATAAGAACAATTATATATACTAACCATGAGATTACCTCCGACAAGGAAAGCTGTCAGGTTGTAGTGTATAGGCTTAATAAGAACAATTATATATACTAACCATGAGATTACCTCCGACAAGGAAAGCTGTCAGGTTGTTCCAGGAAAGGTCAATGTCCTTCAGAAGTTGATTGAGTTTATCTGTGGCTAAACCTGGATAGGTACACAATGAGAATGTAGGTCAAATGACTGAGACAATTCAGGCCAAAGACTATTCACCTGTTGACCAGTTTTATATATATATGTAGTACCATAATTGTCAAATAATGTTAATTTAACAAAGCTTACTAAAGTGAAATTTGACCCTTGACCTCTTTTTTTAATTTGAAGTCTATAAAATGTTTAGAGTGTGCCAAGGATTTATTTTAATACAGATATACATGTATATATAACCAAAGTGATCAAGACACGAAGACAGATTCATGTTAGGAATGTTAACAAATCATTTCTTTATTTCTTTATTAATTTAAATTCAATATCTATGAACTTCTTGTTATGTGAAAATATCATTTATAATCACTGGTAAATGGTATTATTATGGGTAGTAACCATAAATCGGTATTTAGCCAGTCCGAAGTCACACATTTACTAATAACAACAAATGGTGAACTGTTCCTGCTATACTGAATTAACTAACTAAAATGACGTAAGGACAGACAAAATAGAGACACATGTTTTTCTAACAGTGTTGTTAGGGCATCAGATTTTCATTCCAATAACATTTTAATAAAGTTAGAAAAATGCTAATTGACTGACCTTGTGTTTTCATTGCTGTAGTGATACGACAGACAACCCTGAATATTTCAACGACACCCTCCACATATTCTGATCCCTGCTCAGATTTCAGAACTTCATTACACACTACCGAACTACTGATGGAGTTAAAGATGTTGTTAGCATCCTTGATCATCCGATAACTGTTGTCAAGGCAACGCTGCCATTCGTATGAGTGTTTGTCACTCCCCTGAAAATTACAGAAAGATCACATAAATCATTATACATTCAACCTTAAATTTCAGTGATGATCTAAATAATGATAAATCATTACAAAAAATCTCCATTCAAGGCACCAACATCTTAGAAAGATATTTATTAAGCGAAAAAAATGTAGAAATCAATGAACATCATTATTTATCTTCATTAATAACTTTCTAGATAAAGATAATTGCTAAAGGTAAATGTTCAGTTATAAGTTTTTTGTTATATACCTGTACAGTTTTTACAACAATGTATCATCTATGAAGTAACTTTGTTAATTAAAACTACTTATATATACCCCACATATGAAAACATTACTTATACATATACTACACAATGATAAAATCTGGCAGTTAGGTCATTAAAGTATGCCTTCAGCATATTGCTCAAAGATATAAATGTTTTGTAGTAAAATATCATATTTAGAAATACCGGGATATCTTGTAGAATATTACTGTATCTGTCGCCAAGGACTGGTAAAGGATTCTGCATTGATGCTTGGTATGTATCGCTAACTGCAACAACAGTAATAACATATTGATCAGCATAGAATAGTGTTAAACACATTACGTGGTGAACATACCATCTGAGACATTATACTTACATTCTGCTTTAATTTCATCCTGTACAGTGTATAACACCTGAACACACTACGTCTGAATATATACACTGTTATGTTCTCAATTATAATTAACATTTGAACATTACCTGGAAAATTTGTATTATGTCAGTGTTAATTTTAATCTTATTTCTCTCGTAGAATGAAAATGATTCAATATTTATAAATGCAGATGTATGAAAATTGACAAACCTCAGCTCTGATGTAAATTCTACTGATATGTATTAATAGTGGGGTAGAAAATATGAATATATGAGCTGCTGGATTCTTTTATCATACATATATGGAGTACTTACTGTTGACAGTGTTGTCTATATCTGCCCTATCCACAGCACTGAGCTCCGCCCCCTTCTCTGGACTGGGCTCTCTTGACTGATCCCCTGAACCTTGACCTTCATTGCTATCACCACTACCTTCATCTTTAATCAGATCCAAACTGTCTACAGACTTGGACTCTGCATTGACCGGAGTTCCAATTTTCCTTTGTGTGACAGTTTCAAAGTTTCCATACTCGTTACTAGATATAGATTGTGCATCCTGGTCAAGGACATTCTGTAGTCGACTTTTAGAGAATGGCAGCTCTAGACTGGATATTGACTGGGAGTCTTCACTCTTTGTAATGGACAAGCGGTCCTGACTAAAGTCAATTGTGTCCTTGGGGGCACTTTGATCCACATCTGATTGGTCAAGCATCATTATATCTGCATACCTGGACTGAGCAGTTGTTGGCTTTTTAGACTCCTTGACCACTGGTTTGGACACAACACCCATACCAGGATATTTCCTTCTACTGTCATCCACTATATTTTGCGGCTGATGGTAGTCCTCCATATCCTCATATCCACGACTGAACTCACCAAAGTCTTCATCACCGTGATCGTCATCCATAGGAGGCGGTACTCTCAAGGAATCTTCTTCATCATCAGGACCAAGTGATGGGAGACGCTTCGCTGTTGGAGAAAATATTTTCTTTGCTTCCAAAGTTTGTTCTTCATCAAGATATGTGTTAGTAGATTCTGACACCTGCTGATTCCATTCTGTGTTAACAACTGTGTTCTGTGTATACACTAATTTAAGGTCTGTAGGTAATTCTTGTGGTTCTCTGACCTTAAATAGACCAAGAATTTCCTCTGAGCGTAGCCCTTCTTTCTTGACAACGACTTTATCTTCACTTTGGCTGGTTTCTATGACAACACTATCAACTGTCTCGGAACCTTGAAAATCTGCCCAGTCATCATTTTCTTCTTTTTGTTCAAATGCCGAAGTAGGTTCCAAGAACCCAGAACCACTCCCTGTACTGCCTGCTGAAAATGCTGACCAACCAGAGCCAACATCTGTACTTGTCTTAGAATTTTCACCAAAACCTGACCAATCAGAATCTGTGTTACTGTCCATTGGCAATGGTTTGACACTTACATCGGTAGCATCAATTGGATTATTGTTGACAGTTGATATAACGGTAGGAGCACTACTGAACAGACTTAAAATACTTTCCTTTCCTGAATCAGCACCAGTCACATCAGTCCCTACTGGTTCAGCTTGTGATGCCTCATCTAATCCAACTCCTTGAAAATCTGCCCAGTTTTCATTGTCTTCAGCACTGTCTTGAGGAGGGTTAGGTCCATCTGCTACAACTGTGTCATTTCCTGTACTTAATTCTGATCCAAAGTCTAAAGTTCTCAATGCAGCATATTTGTCTTCCTCACCCATCAGTGTTAAGCTGACATCACTTCCTGAAGCTTTCAGGTGATCATGATCTGCAGCAATCTTTGAAACAGCGGATTTAGAGAAGTTTCCTGTGACAGGTGCTTGCTGGAAATCAGCGAAATCAGAATCTGATGATTTGGTGGGAGAGTTTCCAAACTGTGTGTCTGATTTGTCAGTGGAGTCAGCCACTACAAGATCTGGTGTGTGGAACTGTGAACTCTGTAATGGTTTAGAGGAAACATTGGTGACTGTAGCTTCTACATGAGGCTTTGTCCACAGGTTACGAATAGCAGGGATAGCCGTGGGAACTGCAGTGGAAGGCATGCTGGGTAGAGGAAGTGAGGACTTGGACACAGGACGATGAAGCGGACTCTCTTGCTGCTTCTGTTTTCGTCGTTCAAAATCCTCCAGGTAAGACTCAAACACTTTAAAGTCCTCATTTTCTGATTGTTCTGAAGAAAACTGGCTACTGTCACTTGGCTTGCTGTCTGCAGACTTGAAGTCATCAAAATCTGCCTCAAGACTGTTTGGTGTTGATGGACCTTCAACAGTAAAGTAATTATTTCCTGTTAATGATATTCAGTGTACCTGTCATTTATCTGAAAGTTACATCTTAGGTATGTTTTTGCTTCTTGTTATGTACTGAGAATGTTTTAACACCAAAGTTCGTCATCATGAAATATAATGAATTTCCATTACTTAAAAAACGGAAACATAAAGAAGTTGTCAACTTGATAGAAACATTAATTCTAGTGTAAATATCATACTTTGTCTCTGAAGGGTAAACCTGACAATTAAAATATTTTCTGTAAAGTAAAAATATTGTCAGCATTAACAAGAAAAAAAGATTGTTGATATTTCAAATTTGAAAAACATTTGCAAGTAAAGAACATCGTTGATCTTTTAAATTTGGCAAACATTTGCAGAAACCAAAAATTCTGGGATCCTGTGTTTGTGCACATGTACCAATATAGTGACAAATCTGTATGCAATAAAACACAATTTGGTATAGAATAGTTGAAAATCCATTCAGTAAATGACTATTGTTTTCTTAAGTTTTTCAAGCAACACTAAAAACTAAGACTTCATGCATATACATGACCAGCTTGATTCCATTTCTATCAGCCTTTTACCAGAAAATTGGAAAAATTGGAAAGAAACTTGATATATACATATTCACCTACACATTTTTAGGGTCATTATAACATAGGTAATAAGATGGAAATAGAAAATTTTAGTGATATTAATAGTATCACACATAGATATATAGACTTTTACTACTAAGAACTTAATATTTTGTAGAATTCTCGTCGTATCACCAATAACTTATACTCAACATCACACATGTAAATATTCAGGTGAGCTCAAATTTTGTAAAATAGAAAGAATTATATACAAAAAAATTGAGAACTGCATAATCATCATTCTTTATTTTAAAATACCAAATTAGCTTAAAGCATATTACCAGTACGATATGGACACAGTGCCTGATATATGTAGTGCAAGATGCACAATCTCTGGAAATGTTCAGTGGGACTACTGGTTTACAAAATTACAAGCAATTTATCAATATCTATAAAATGTGTCAGTACAATTAGTGAACTCTGACCAACAAAAGACAATGTTGCAACTAAGGGAGATCTTGTTTTGCAGACAGAAAATCCTTTTTTATTGTGCTTTATTGTGAAATTGTTCATACAATATGAAGGGGGAAACATAATCATGATGTCAATGCTCTGACATAAAGATGAAAAAAAAGTTAAATCAAGGGAGGTAAGTAATGTATAAAATAATCAACTGACAAAATAGTTCAAGTAAGTCCAGTCACCAAAACAAGAAGAAAATGAAAAACAAAATAAAAAAAACAAACCCTCTGATGTACAGAACTGAAAGTATGTGTATAACCACCTTCACCAACTTGCTCAACACGTCAGAAAGAACATCTCCCTCGTACTGGTACAAGTTACACAGATCCAAGCCTTGAACCATCACAATCAGGCCATGCACTAAAATTAACATCTTTACCATACTCAACTTATTTAATCTAGCCTCCAAGATGCACCAAAATTTGAAAGAATGGAGATTTTTTTTTCAAAGTCACTAAAGCTACAAACTTGTCCAACATTCAGTTCTAGAATGTTTATTCAATGCCCTTTTAAAAATATTTTTGAACAATTGAATTTAAGTCATGTTATATTAACAAAACTTTGATTCTCTAATATACTACAGAATTTCAATGGGTCTGTAAACAAAATAATCTAAGAAACAGTATTGTTTATTGTGTGATAGAAATGCAGTCTACCAAGCTATAGTTATTGATAATTACTATATCACTTTTCTTACTAAAATTAACTACAATATGTAAACTTTACAGAAGCAATCGCTCATTAAGCATTTATACTGCCAGTAAAATGAAAACAATCACACTGTTTGGGTAGATGTTTAGCTTACATATATTTTCATGCTGAAGTTATGATATTGTTAACACATATTTAAACATTGTTCTAATCATAAGGCTACCTTCATGCTTTGTACTGTGGACAATGTGCCATATATTTTTTGTTACGAGGGTTAGCTGTTACATGATAAAGACAAAAAAGCAACATCTATGGTTAGAACAAAATCGTTGGCTGAAGGATTAGTACATGGGCTGCAAGTTTGAGGGCACTGACTTGTACACACACATTTAGGCAAATAACACTTAATAGGCACAGATATTGTAACCACGCTGCCATATAAAACAAATAGGCATAGATATCACAACCATACTCTATAGTATAATAAAATGGTCTAGATACTTTAACAATACTGCCATACCATAAGTTGAAACTAAACAAAAAGTTGTAAACTAAAAACTGTCTGTAAGACATGAATGCTTCTGTCCAATGCAAATCAGAATGTTATCATGAAGTTATGATTCTTTGAAAGGGTAAATATGAGGTTCTTAAGATACAACACTGACTAGGAACGGGACAGGACAAGTCACGATAGAGGGACCTGTATAACACTATATGCCAAATTTAATGACAGACTCTAACTGTGGATGTATAGAGTCAATAAAATATATACTACCATAGGACTTTTCATATCTTTTTTTTTTGCCAAGGGTTTTACCACATTTGGTGACCTTGAGGGTGAAACATTCCATTCTTCCCCTGACTTATGAAAGAATTTTTTCTCTTGTTTCTCATTCTTCAATATTGAAAAAAAAAAAAAAAAAGCTTCAGACGCTGATAATGTACTACAAAGGATGCAATATTACACAAAAATCATTTTTTATATTATTAATTAATCACAAATTTACATAAAAAAAATAATTCTCCATACCTAGATTTGGCAAACATTGTTTGCCCTAGGAAATTAAAACAAATTAAATATTCACTGCAAGTAGCTATTTGTACACAAATGTGTATACAGTGTATCAAGTGATGGTCTCAATGGATGTGGGACACATCACATTTCTACACACCTGTGCCTGTAGTATGTGGGTGGGTATGTAATACAAGAATAGCAAACCTGAGTGTATTGCCCTGGACAGACCAGTATTGCAAAGATAGAAATGAGAAAATACTATATAAAATACTAATGATCTGAAACTATTGACAGAACATATATCTATAACACGTGTCACCTAGAAAGATTTCACGTCAATCAGACTGTAGTGACAATTATCACCTCATTGAAAAATCATTAACAGGTTAAAAAGCAAAATTGAAACCTAGCAGCCTTGATGGTCACCTGAGATAAGCAAAATTGAATATAAAGGTTATCAAGTGTCATGAAACAGAAATTGTGACACTAAATATATAGACAGGGTCAATACATGCCTTCCATCAAAACTGTCGTCCTACACTGGTAATTCTTAAAACGTTATTTCTAGTGGGAAATAACTAATGTTATGCCCAAAAATACAATTTTTCTATGTAAATTATAGTAAAGTCTAAAAATAAATATTCCTCCACAGGAAGAAATGTTAGACTCATTTTAGTAATAAAAACACCCTAAGATGCTTCCTTTCATGCAGAGCATTTGATTCTATCACACCTCCGTCGTAAGAAGATTTATGAAATTTACGTCAATTTGACCCTTTTGACTGGCCCATCAGCCCCTGGGGGTCAGTCAGGATCAAAATGGACATACCGTCAAGCCGTCATCCTTCACTCATAATTCTAACCAAGTTTGAAACATTTCCAATGGAAATTAAACAAATTATGCTCAAAAATCTAGATTTCCTATATAAGCTATAGTAAACTTTACACCCTCACCATGGGGAAATGTGAGACCCTGGGGCCATGAAATTCACAATTTTGGTAAAGCACCTTAAGATGCTTCCTTTCATGAAGAGTATTTGATTGTACTATATCTTGGTCTTCAGAAGAAGATTTTTGAAATCTGAGTCAATTTGACCCCTTTTGGCCCACCACTCTGACCCCTGGGGGGTGGTGACTGTATAATTCACATTTTTAGTTCATCTTAGGCCAGGGAAGGTTTCTGCAAAATTTCACTGAAATTGGATCAGGGGTTTTTGAGAAGAAGTCGAAAGTGTTAATTGTTTCGGGTAATAGGAAGTTTACCTGGTATATTTCTTCAGTAGTGTAGTTATTCTAAAAGTGATAACAATCGGTAAAGATGTGTGATAGTCTGTTAATGTCTGTAATTTCTTTACAAACATATACCTAGATACAAAGTACATCGCTAGTGAAGTAAAATGAATTATATCTGATTCAGTCAGTCATGCTTGTTTTTTCCTTGCAGATGCAAAAACTAATTGGTATATGTTTTTCAGACATTTATGTCCCTCTCCAATGAAAATTAGCTGTCAATTTTCTTTAAATAAACATGATGACCTTGACTTTTGAACTTTGAAACACAAACACTTTCATAAAAGGTACTTTGATCAAAGTTTCTTAAGAAATTATGACAATAGTGTGATGAAATTTTGAGGACAGAATGAACATTAACAACCCATCTGTCATATGTAAGCCTCTACACAAAGTGGTCAGGGAAAAAATCTGTTTGATCTTTGACCTCTTGTTACCACCTTGATATTAGGATGATTGTCCTGAAAGTGATAAAGGCACAAAGCTGTCTAGACTGAGATTTTATCAATATTTCTATCTATCATAAGTTCAATCAGAAACAGAAACATAATGTTATACAACAGTGTTTCATTTCAGTTTAAATATGAAAAATTATTTACATCCTGAAATGAGTTTAAATACAGCTAAGATACCCAGCTCATAATGTCATTTTCAGAGTGGTCTGAATCATGGTGATTTCTGGGTAACAGATTTTATAATAAAGGAAAAATGTCCTAGTAGATATAGAAAAACTGAAAAATATTGATATTAAAAGATTGAAAATTTGAAATCTTAATACATAAAACCCTTGATTCATGTGACACTATATAAGTGAAACACTTAAATATACTTGTAATTTTAATACATATTTGTTCTAAATGTTTTAGTTGGAAACTTTCATGGTTCAGCCAGAGATGACATTACAGACAGGATTATAAATATCAGGCATTAATCCACCTACAAATATATGCAGTACACCTACCAGGCAATAAGATATCTAAATTGAGCATATGAAAAAAATGTTAAAAACCATGATGTTGAGCAAAATAAATCAGAAATCAAGGATGGAAAATAGCCCCATACTGTATATATACAGGATGCAATACCACCGGAAGTGTATACCTGTAAGAAGTTGTCTCTGAGGAGAAGCGGAAACTGCATAAAAACAAATAGGACTAATTGAAATATCCACACCCAATGGTAACTATCATAGAAAATGAAATACTTCTACACCAATTGCTTTGTGATATATTGTTTAAAATTGACTAAATAGATTACAAAAACAAAAGTTACTACAGAGGTATCAAAGGTTTGAAGAATTAAAAAAAAGAATAACTTTTGTGATTAGAACACTCAAGGAGGAATTTTATTGAGGTGAAGTTCTGGGACTAAGGATTATACATCAATATATAAATCTATGAAGCAATCTAAAGCTTTCATTTTTTCTAACTTAAAACTCTCATGTTTTAAAATAACATAGCAACACTAAACCACTACAAATATATTGCGAATGGTCTACAAACTTATAATTCTAGTCATAAACACTTAAATACAATACTTAATACCTTGCTAAGAAGCAACTAGAACTGTCGCCAGGATGACCGACTATTCCTGCCTGCTCCCCAATCAACAATAGTGTTGGAGGAGTTTCCCAACAAGATTCCTCAAACAGGTCTTCATTTAGTCACCATGACAACCAATTTTTTTTTTTTTTTTAAATGGTATCACTTTAGTATATTATCTCCCTAAACATTTTTATACCAATTTTCAACTTTATCTGATAATATCTTAATTTTGACAAAAGAGAATCTCTAAAGTGTGGTATTAGTTTTGGAATACCTAATATGTCAAATTATAGGCTATAATTAGATGAAGTATTTGTTCAAGTTTAAATAAAAAGTGACAAGACACAACAATATGTCATAGGAATGTAGTTTGCCAAGTTTGAGAAATAATGCTTCAGCACTTTTAAGATACATTTGACACAATATCCCGGACAGAAAGACAGCAAGACAGTCGGATGGTAAGACAGGGTGACTCCAATATACACTTATATCCATCCCCTTGAACTTTGTTGCAATGAGTATAACAATTCTATAATTTGAGTCTGTTTTATGAAAATTTTCATATAATTAGTAATTTGTAAAATACTTTTTAAAAGTCTTGTCGAGACACCACTTAATTAAAGTGGGGAAACTCTGGCAGGTCCAACAGGGTGAAGAGACACAAGAGGTTTACACTGGATACATCTAACATATACAGGGACTTTGGGACTTTTTGTAGGCATTAAGAAAAACACAACAGGGAGGTCACTGAATGCACTGCTCACCTGAAGAGTCATCACTTCCAAAAAAGTTCTGTACATTAGAGTAGGCCATTTCTGACGTCACTGGTCCCGCCATCTTTTCAGCCTCAGGGGGAACCTCGTATAGGTATCTACAAATTTTAACAAAGCTGACAATGTTTTTTGAGAAAATATTCTCAAAAGCTTTGCAATATCAAAAATCAGAAGGATATTTACACAAGAGGCCAATAGGGCTTGTATTGCTCACATCGCTTTGTTTGGCTGAAACAAAAAATAAGCACACAAAAAACAATATATATATATTTGGCCATTGGGCTCCACCCATCTGTCAGGGGGTCAGCCAAACGATTCAAGATTCACAACAAATTGGGACAGACTGGTGCTTTTCCTGTTCTATCTCACCATCCCCTCCCCTCACCACCTCCCAATCCCATGGGGCCTAGAGCTACCATTTATACAAAACTAGTTATACAAAATACAACGATTCTAAAGGAGATTAGGAAGTTAAATAAATTGATCTATTTCCCCTACTGGGCACCAACCCTTCTGCCACAGCGAGCTGAGACCAACTGTTTATACAAAACAAATTTCGGCAAAATAAAATCATCCCTATGGAAGAAGTAGCATCTTAAAGAACTTGCTTGATTTTTTTCCCTAATGGGCCCGAATGAGACTCATCGTTTATACAAAATTAATTCTCCTTTACCCAAGAATGCTTCAGACCAAATTTGGACAAAAATCAAATCCTACAGGCAGAGTAGCATTTTAAATGATTTAATATTGAGCAATAGGAGGCCATCATTTATACTGGACAAAAATCAAATCCTACAGGCAGAGCAGCATTTTAAATGATTTAATATTGAGCAATAGGAGGCCATCATTTATACTGGACAAAAATCAAATCCTACAGGCAGAGCAGCATTTTAAATGATTTAATATTGAGCAATAGGAGGCCATCATTTATACTGGACAAAAATCAAATCCTACAGGCAGAGCAGCATTTTAAATGATTTAATATTGAGCAATAGGAGGCCATCATTTATACTGGACAAAAATCAAATCCTACAGGCAGAGCAGCATTTTAAATGATTTAATATTGAGCAATAGGAGGCCATCATTTATACACAATGTGCTCTTCATCCACCAAGAATGCTTCTGACCAATTTTGCTCAAAATCTGCTCTTTTTTTTTCGTGATTAGCAATTGTATGGTCACACTTATGTTCCTTTGGACAAGGTGAGCTAAAAATTCACAACTGAACAGAATGCAAATTATACTTACTCAACTTCAGGTTTCTTTTTGTGCTTGATTGGTTGTTTGGGTAAGTCTGATACGGGTGTTTCTATTAATCAAAGAAATAAACAAATAAATATAACAGTCAACAGCAATCAAGAGATGGAAATAGACATTTAAACCCAAAAAAGGAGAAATGTTCATTACATCATTAGACAATGATAAATTTAACACCTGATTTTACAAACAGAAATGGAAATACAAAAGTATAAAAATTTTATTGACAGTTGCAAATTGGTATATAACAGACGGTATGAAAGACAGCAATTTTAAATGCTATATCAGACATCTTATTTGTACAACAGTACCTGGTAGCCCAGCAGTCTGAAAATCAGCAAAATCATCATCACCACCTGGGGCAAAAGCCTCCATGGTCCCTGCTGTAACTCCTAAACCAGGCTGTGATGCTGGTACGTGGGTGGCTGGTTGTAATGGAGCACCTGTTTGGATAATGGAAGAAGGTCCTGTCTGTTGAGAAAGTGATGCAGGGGGTAATGCAACACAGTGACTTGAATGACCTTGAATTCCATGCCCTTGTTGACCAGAATGACTTTGAACTTGTTGACCTTGCAGGCTATGACCCTGAGGACATTGAGTGCCTTGTCCTTGCTGACCCTGAAGACCATGACCTTGAAGGGTTGGGGTGCCCTGATCTGCATGACCATGACCTTGCTGACCAACTGGTCCTGAAGAACCTTGTCCCTGCTGTCCTAGGAAAGGAATGGGAGGCTGTGGGAGATTGTTGAGCATGTCCATTGTCAGGGCCTGGTAGTTGTTCTGTAAATTATAACAAAACTTGGTCATACAGGAGGATATAACATGACAAAAAATTATCACAAATGACAGCAACACAGTAGTATCATGGCCCATCCTTATCACTGTTCACTATGGCCCGTCCTTATCACTGTTCACTGTAACACAGTTGTACCTGTAACACAGGTGTAACACCTGTAACACATTTGTATCTGTAACACAGTCGTACCTGTAACACAGTCGTACCTGTAACACAGTCGCACCTGTAACACAGTTGTACCTGTAACACAGGTGTAACACCTGTAACACAGTTGTACCTGTAACACAGGTGTAACACCTGTAACACATTTGTAACTGTAACACATTTGTACCTGTAACACAGTTGTACCTGTAACACAGGTGTAACACCTGTAACACATTTGTACCTGTAACACAGTCGTACCTGTAACACAGTCGTACCTGTAACACAGTTGTACCTGTAACACAGGTGTAACACCTGTAACACAGTTGTACCTGTAACACAGGTGTAACACCTGTAACACATTTGTACCTGTAACACATTTGTACCTGTAACACAGTCGTACCTGTAACACAGGTGTAACACCTGTAACACAGTTGTACCTGTAACACATTTGTACCTGTAACACATTTGTATAAGCCATTATCACTATTCATTGTAACACATTTGTGTATCAAATTAATAGGTGAAATAGTGGCAATTGCATAATCATCAAACTGTGGGAACAAAATGTATCTTAACAACTCTGTAGGTTATAATGAAGCAAAGAAACCTGAGATTGATTTTGAAACAAGCTATGACGTACAGGTAGCTAAACATTGTAGTAGGACAGAACAATGTACACCAGTCCTATGCCAAAGAAATAATCAGGTTTTTGTGTATCAAAAAGAATACAAATATGGAAATGGTAATAAGTCAAAATATCAAGAGGGAAAACAGTGTGATATGTTTTAATGATAAATTACAACATACCAAGTTATAAATAGATGGGTTGAAAACTGAAATAAATCTCAGGACAAGATTAAAATGCTGAAAAGAACAAAAATCAATAATATTTTGAAATACTGTTGAATTTACATTTATGTTATTCGAAAGAACATCATTTCATATTGTTGGTTTCAAGTCTACCAGATCTCATTTGAAACAAAGGACAATAACTCTTTACAAAATTGTTAAATCACAATGCCAATAGGGAATACATCATTTCATGCTATGGTTATAATGTGTATAAAGTTTCAGAGAAATTGGTGAAAAACTGGGAAATACTTAAAAAACAAATGTAATTATTCCTTCAAAAACTGTTGAATCTTTGTAGGGAAATACCACATCATGTCATGGTGATTTACACCTATTGAGCTTGAAAGAAATCCATGGAAAACTGACAGAGATGACCTTTGGATAAAATTAACAATATAAAAACAACATGGAGCAATATCTATTCTAAATAAAGCCAAATCAAACTGCCATTAAGAGAAGTACAAGTTGATGTCATGTTGATTAAGTCTACTAAGTCTGAAAGATGAAAACTGTGTCAAGGGATCTCTGGAAAGATTAAATATGACAACAGACAGACAGACAGACAGACGAACGGACGGACGTCATACAATAATACATCCTATTAAAATTTTTGACAGGCATATAAAAACTTATCAACAAGAACATCTGTCCGATCTGGCTCTCTATCAACAGTACTAAAGAGGATTCTAATGGTTCCCCCATTGATTTACAGTTACTGAGAACTTAATGGTCTGTGATCGCTCCTAGTCAATAAATGAGTTATGCATGGCTAAAAATAAACATCGATAAATTAAGTACCAGAAGAAGTTTAAGCAGGAATGGCAAAAGTTGATACTAAAAAGGTAGATGAACTAAAATGTTTACCATGATGGAGGAGATATATTTCTGTAATAATTATTTATTTAGAATTCTGATTGCACACTTTCTTTACCTGAGCAAAAGCAATAAGCGCCAATAACAGGTACAACTCCTCCTTAATGAGCTGGCCAGGTGTTGTTCTGTTGGCTAGATTCCAAATCTGACCAAGTGTTTCCTTGGACAATCCACTCATCAACAAGATAGGGTATAGACGTTCTGTAGCAATTTGTCCATTCCTGTCCCAGATCAGAATATTTATTTACAATGATAAGAAATGAAAAAAGTTATTGATTAAGCTTTGTTTAAAGTCTGAAGGAGAGCGACCACCAGTGATTTATAAAGTTTTATCAATTCCTCGTTTAAAAACTGAAATGAGTGAAAGTTTCTACATATCATGTCACTCAGAACATATATTTAAACAATAATTTTTTTTCTGTTATAATTAGTCAATATTTCTGCAAGTGATTATTTGGAGAATCTCCCAAATCCTGCTAGTGATTATATCATTTGTAACTCATTACCAACAGCTTTTTGGCAGAATTAATTAGATATCACGTAATAAGGTACCATTAACCTCATTTTATAATTATATATGATGGAGTAAATTCAACGAAATGAGCAGTCGAAACATGGAACAACGCGTAAAAGTATTGTGACGTCACAATACAACAGTACCAGTCACAATTTTTATCACATTATTTCATTGGCAGCCTGCTACTGTTGTAATGAGACGGTGGCAGGGAAATGTTGATTATACCTTACAGTAGCAAGACACCTGCAAAATTTCTGTATTCTTCACTACTGAGATAATCATGGGATGCCATGATTTATGACATCACTATCAGTATGTATTGTATGGTGTACATTATTACATGATGGTGACATTGATACAGGCCAGCTATGTGTGAAGATACTATTAGATCTGATATATTACATTTTCATCAAACTACATGGCTGCAAACTTACACCATGGCTGCCTCTAGCACTTGTTTGTACACTGGGGGAATTCTTTCTTCCTCCTTACACCAGCCAGGAACTTCAAACTTTGTTCCTTCCTTCCCCTGGGGTGGCTGTTCAGACTGGGATTCAGGGGCTGTCACAGGCTGTGGAGCCATCTCTATAAACATAGTTGTATTTCATTGTAGTTTTTACTCCAGTTAAATTGGATACAAAAGTCCACATCATGGAAATCCCCTGATGCTAATTTTAGATCCAGGTACACAGACTTGCGGTATCTTATACATCAACAGATTTGTTACAGGTAACCACCATTTAAAAGTTGTTATATTATTTTGGAAAAATCTTCATAAATATTTCTCACCATCAATCAGGAACAGTAAATAATCAGCCATGTTAATTAATTATTGTAAAATTCATGTATGATCTAAGATATAAAGGGAAGGTATCGTAAATCTATCAACATGCAATTTGTTATAGTCACCTGCAGTGAAAAGCTGAGACAACTCCTCAACAGGCTTTGTCCACTGGCGGGCCTGTTGACTCTGGTGAAATGTGTGGTGATGTGTCTGGTTTGTCGCAGGCAATTCCTTCAGAACAGGTCGATGAAAGGTTTTTGCCTTGTTAGGTGCTGTTAGGTCTGAACACTCCATCATCATGGACATCAAATCTGATAAAGACAGACAAAACAATTCCAATTTCTAATATATCATTTATGATGTCAATGTCATCATTCTAATAGAGGAAAACTAGAAACAAACATAAAATAAATCCCCTTTAATGACAATCACAGACATCCAAACAATCAAAATGATCAAAAATTATTATCAACGGAACAAAAGTCACCAATCCCTACGGGACATCTTCACTGAAATATATTAGTTCCAGTAAGAATAGGTATGAAATAGGGAAAATAACACATCCTAACTAAGCTCAGCCCCATCTTTTACATATACTTATTGTAATATGCCGCTAAGATAACAACTGTTACCAACACAAAGAACACTTCATATCATTCTCTTGGTGATGTTTAAAATTGACAGCAAGATTTTAAAATCAGAAGAAACAAAACATCATAGGAAACAGAAGAACCTATTATCTATGCATCTCCCTTCATTGGCATGGAAGACATACACATGTATTAGTTATAAACTGTGGACATCTCTGTTCATTGAAAATGGGGAGATATACATTTGTGTTATTTCTAATTTGTTGACATTCTGTTTACTTGCAGGGTAGATATACATTTGCATTATTCATCATTTGTTCATACCTCCGTTCTTTGTAAGGGGAGACATACAACTGTATAATTTACTGTTAAAATAGAAGTATACGTCATTAACCGCAATCTATTTATCTGATCATACTTTCCAGATATTTTAGATAATTGCTATAACATGGTTAAAGAGATTATAAGGCTTTAACAATACTAATAATATCTCACACCATGTTACACTAGACAAAATTTAGCTTTATTTTTCATAGATTTACCTTTTTTCTCTTCCTTGGGTAGATTTTTGGTTTGGTTTCCAGCACTGAATGGTTCAGGCACTGACTGGGGGACACTTTGTTGGTCTGGAATTGATGTCTCCACCGTTGGGGTATTTGTACATGGACCTGCCATGAAGTCCCCAAACCCATCATCTTCTGGTTCTGCAACATTCATCATGACATTGTTACATAACAAAAACTATATTGGTTATCAAGGTTCATCGCTCAAACGACAAAATTTTAATACCGCTAGACAGTATTTTCTTTATTTTAAAATACTACATACATCTTATATTTCAGTTAGGTATCATGAACTGCCATTGATGTTTAGAATTTATTTAACAAAAAAAGGATATGACACTCAGAATGAAAATTTTTTAAGCGAAAAATTTAATTCCACAATTTAGGAAGAGTTAATAATATTCTTTTCTAACAAGTACATTTGAGTTGTTGACCATATAACGTTAATGTATACAACTTGACTACTTGTGGATTAAAGTGGAAAGAACGAGAAAGTTTATTTCAAAATTACCTAGCTATAAAAGCACAATGTAGTCAAAATACAGTGATTACTCAGTACATAACAAAAAATTGAATGAGGAATCAGTTTCATACCATCCAGTAACTATTCCTCACCTTCTTTCTTTGCAGTGATGTCTTTCTTTGGTTTTGGTTTGTCCACTTTGCCAAACATGGACTCCATAAGTCCCTTAGAGAACTTATCAGTGTCCACTGGAACTGGTCGACCAAATGCTTGCAGTTTCTGTTTTTGGGCTAGGAATTGTTTTTCCTTGCGTTGTTTTTCCTCTAGTTGTCGTAGTTGTTCTGCTGACATTGTGTTAGGTCTGCTTGCCTGGCCAGGTAACTGATGCCCAGGTGTCCTTTAAATATAACAATAAGTGAACATATCTACACCTGACAGATAAAATAAAGTTTACATATTGTAGTTTTTCACCTTCATGCTACATGTAAATGTACGCTATGATATAGGATTAACATCTGATGATTAAAGCATGTCTTCACATTCATCACATTATATCATAAGGAAAAATCCACAAATATAAATGTCTAATGAAGTATCATGTAATTAAAACACTAATTGCAGAACAGTAAAAGTCTGATATTGTAGAATAATCCGATATCAAATTTAAACACGAGAGTATAAGATAAGATAAGATAAGTTTATTTCCGGTTCAGGACGTGCTTGAGTCCTCTATACCAGACTCAATAATACATGTTAGAGTTTCAAGATACTATAATAAATAAATTAAATTAATATGTGCCTCTCATTAGCAATGTTTCTTATACAATTAATTCAATAAACGATCAGATGACAACATGAACAGGTGTTGGGAACACTCATTTACATGAATATATTGAAGTAATTCATTATTTGCCAGAACAGAAAAACCAGATACATGTACAAATAAACAAACAACGATTATAATTAGTTATGATCAGAACATATTCATACTCTTTAATATATTACCATATATGGAATCATTTTGTTTTTTATTTCTCTTTTATATTTTTTAAGGGTTTAACTATAAAGTAATGTAACATGATTTTTTCAATCGCTGATTCAATGCAACAATATCATCATTCTATGAATCAATGCCATATGGTTGTGTACATGTAGCTATGATATAGGTGTCAGGATTAGGAACTCTTCTGAAATGAAGAGTACTTATGACCTATCATTGCAGCAATTTTGTCAGGCAAACATTACGCCAAATAGAAAACTGCTGATTGTAACCTTATCATATCTTCTTCACATACATCTGATTTTGGCAGGAGAGCTTTCGATAAATGAAGATTCAATCTGATGGTCTCTTATCAACAAATTATTATGGAGAACAATGAAACTACAAATAAATATTTGATAAAGTGTACCTTTTAGTTTAATTTGAAATCTGTTGCTTCATCTTTTACTGTCTTTCTGAATCACAGTACCCTTTCATTATCAGAATATTTATATCAGTTGAAATATTTGTTTTTTTTTCCCTTTCAGACACATATTCGAAAGGAAAAATCAAGCCCGGGGCCCTTAGAATTGGGAAAAATAATGGTGTTTTCCTTAGAATTGTGAAAACTTGGGGGTCTAAATTGGGGAAAAAAAGATACTATTTTGCATATTCGGCCCCAAATCTGGCAGATCGAGAGCCCTGATATGACTTATCGTAAATATTGTAAGACACATATGTAATAATACTATTGTGACATCAAAAATAAGTCATGTTTTGATGACAGCACATATAAGAGCAATCAATTAGGGAGTTTTCCTTTACTTTTCAGAAATACAAGATATACACCTATGCCACTGTAATATGAAATATTAAATCAATTGAATAATTCAATATACTAAGAGCTTTTAGGCAAGTGACATATCATCACTATATGCATATGCAAGTAGTTATTAACATATAGCTTTTACCTTTGTCTGAAGTTGTCTGCCATTTTTTGTGTGTAAGCAGGAGGCGCAATACGTGGACCATCTGGGGGTCGCATACCCATTGGCTACAATTAAGAGATATGATGTAATAATCATGATTTCATCTGCAGTGAAGCCAACATATCAAGTGAAAGTCTTGTGAAATGTAATCTGTCGATTTAACTTAACATGTTTAAACAAGAAATGAGAGGGAAAACTGAAACTTGAGAATCAATGTTGTGCATTTCTATAATGAAGTTCACTGAGACAAAATTGGTTAGATTATTGAGAACAACCGTGATAATACTGTACATTTCTAGAGATCAAATATTTTTAATTATCCATACTAACTAAATACAGACCAGTTTTGACAGCTTATATCATCAGTTTTAAGAATGATCAAATCACCTGTACTGGAAACATCATCTGTTGTGGGGGCATCATACGACCACCAGGTGGCATCATCATCCCTGTATTCATCATTGGCATCATCTGTATTCCTGATGTCGGCTGCTGAAACTGAGGCATCCCAGAATTTGGCATCCCAGAATTTGGCATCATGCCAAAGTTTCCTGAAAACATTTTCAATATTCATTAATCATATGGATGGGTGAAACTACGAAAATAGAACAAATGTATCACAAAAGAGACATATATAACACATATAAAGAAATACATAAGATTATTACTAGAACGAAAAAAATCAAAGAATTTACATGAATGATACCAGATATCAGCTGTATGTGTTAAAACATATTTCTGATGATATGTTGAAATAATAACAAAAAACACAATCAAACATACTTCAGAAAGAAATACATGTAATGAATTTAATATCACGTATTTATAACTTTTAAAGGTTGAATAAAATTACAATTTTATTTTGATGCAAATAAACAAAACTTACATACGAAAATGTACAACAAGTAAATATCTTAGATATATAAGAATGTAAAATCTTACCAGGCGGTTGCCCAGGGTATCGGATATTTCTGCAGGAAAAAAAGACTATCTTAATGAAATAATACACAGCAGGTTTGTCATATTGCAGCTGAAGAAAGGAAACTATACTAGGGAAATAAGTACCCTTTCTATGTCCTCCTCTACAAACTACAAACAGTGGTTTTTCATTCTGTCTTGAGGTTGTATTTTCAGAAGAGATAAGAAGTTTTAAAATATGATTTAAAAATATTCCTGGACACATAAGCCATATTTCAACACATTCTGTGGAAATCTGTCTTGACAATTTTAAATCTTTATTGTTATCATTTTTGAAAGCCTAGTATTTTTTTAGAGATCGTCATGTTTTCCAAACTATAACAGTATAATATCTGCAAACTTTTATCATCATTATTGTTTTCAATTTTGAGGTTTACATTTTGAATGCCTAATAATAGACTCAGTCAAACCCATCACATTAACACACATGTACACATTTATTTACATCCTTTCTGTCACAATTGTATATAGCCATATCTGGATTTGCTTTTGTAATTTGTTACTATGGTGTACCTCCTCAAATTTTATTTGAACATAGTCCTTGTCTTCAGTAAAGGTGCATTTAATCAATAAAACCTGCTCATTTCATGATTGTTATAGTAATGTTACACTTCAAACTCAATTTCAGTTTGTTCTTTAGAGCTACCTTAAAACAATTATTTTTAAAAGCATCAGTGATTTTTAGGTCTCAGATATTTGAGTCCTTGTCTCATGCTTTTCCTGTGGAACTTGCTCAAACATGGAGAATTTTTGAACCAGTATTCTGAACTCTAATACTAATGAGTTTGCCACATATTTTTGACAGAATCTTGGCTGAATGAACCTCTGGGGTGATATACAGTACTGTAACCATTTTTGCAGCCATTGAAGTATATCATATATGTAGTTTTGAACAAAAGAAACTGATCAGAAATAACATCTTTTCTTTTCATTTCCAAAATTGCAGCATTTATTCACTGTAGCTTAGTGCATCAACATTATAAGTTCCCTTGCTTTAAGCTATCAGTTTCACAGACTGGAAACATCTATGTCTAAGTGTAGCCTTTTGGTCCGGATTTAATTGTAATGCAACAACCAGGCTAGTTTTGGTGTTCATTCATAACACAGTAGAAATCTACAACATAATATATCATAGAGATAGTACATGGACATGAACATATAGCATGTTAATGCTTCAATTTACTGTGGTGTATGGCTATACATTTATGTATAGTAGAATATTTGTAAAATATGATCAAACTAAACTCAGGCTTACCATGTCTGGCAGGTAAGATGATCAATATGAAATATGAAGGGAGGTGTTGCCTGTCTGACAGCTTAATGGAGAATGATTCAGGGAGGGTAATGGAATGTTATGTGAAGGAAATAGGAAGGAAAGTCAGTACAACACTCTCATTCAATCAAACCTATCACACCAGATGATGTTTAGGTACATGAAGGAACCTTTGTGCACTAGGGAAGTACATGTGACTGGCATGTGCATGTTCTAAATGTACATAAGAAAACAAAAATTATCACATGACTAGTGTGACTGAAATATGAGAAAATTTTGGGTTTAGGATCTACCTCAAAGGCAGCTATTGCTTACACATGCAATGATAGTTAAGATTTCGTTCTTACAAACTACATGGTCACAATGCAGTGATTTTTATGTTCATAGTATATATTAATATACATGATTATTCATAACTTATTTAGTATAATCCTTAAAAGCCTGACAATTTCAACTTCAATCTTAAACAATTCAATCGCACCATGGAATAGCATAATAACTTAATAGTATATGACTTTCAACATAGAATTTGCATAAGTATTTTCTTCCATTAAGTGTTATGTGTCTGACTAATCAAAACTAAATTGTCTTAAATGTCATCAACTTTATTTGAAGTGATGAAGCCAAACTAAGGTTAATTTGAAAAATAGTAAACTCTATTCGTTGACTAGAGTATAACCAGTGTTCATCCACTATTAACATGTATAGTCTAATGTGATACAATTAGCAATAAAAATCTATATACATTTATGCATAGCCATCCTAAACATATGCATTTTTACTTTATCACATAAGACTATGTCCCTGTGGTTGAACTTGATCTTAAATGAGTTTACCTGTTAACATGAAATGAGCCACATTTCGAATTCTTTATCAATATATTTCAAAATGGTCTTCTACTTAAGTTACAAGGGGGTGTCTGAAATTTCAGGTTACAAGGCGCATGTCATAAACTCCTCGTCTTGTAAACTATTAACATTGTTGGAGTATCACAACTAACGTGTATAATTGAAGCGATTGAAGTTCATGGGATGAAAACAACAGCAAGGTCGGCTGTCAATGAAGTTTTTCATTAATATAAATAGTGTTTCCTACACCTGGTAAATCAGTTGATTTGAATTTCAATTGTGTGAACTATTTTCATGTTTGGTGACAATGTTAAACTTGGTACAATACGAAACAGAAATGTCCGAGATCCAGAAATTACCTGTTGTCTGCCATTCAGAACTCTTTGACGTTAGTTGTACTTCCGGGTAAAATGTAATATACGAATAAAACCGTAGTCCCTTTTCCGGAACTAGCCGGTAACCCAGACTAAACTCTGCTCAAACGGATCATATAGTAACTTGTGTGGGTGAAATGGGGATGGAGGTGAGGAAAGGGTGTGTGTACGCGCGCGCGCGTATGTAGGGTGGGGGTGAGGGTGGGGAAGGGGGGTTCTTCGACGCGATTTTTTTCTTCTAAATATGATATAGGATGCGGCGGGGATGAGGGTGACAGAGGTTTTAACCAGGATCTAGATAGGATACACTACTAGGGTGACAGAGGTTTTAACCAGGATCTAGATAAGCTACACTACAAGGGTGACTCGGGTTTTAACCAGGATCTAGAAAGGCTACACTACTAGGGTGACAGAGGTTTTAACCAGGATCTAGATAGGCTACACTACAAGGGTGACACAGGTTTTAACCAGGATCTAGATAAGCTATACTACTAGGGTAACACGGGTTTTAACCAGGATCTAGATAAGCTACACTACTAGGATGACAGAGGTTTTAACCAGGATCTAGATAGGCTACACTACTAGGGATACACAGGTTTTAACCAGGATCTAGATAAGCTACACTACAAGGGTGGCAGAGGTTTTAACCAGGATCTAGAATGGCTACACTACTAGGGTAACACGGGTTTTAACCAGGATCTAGAAAGGCTACACTACTAGGGTGACAAAGGTTTTAACCAGGATCTAGATAAGCTACACTGCTAGGGTGACAGAGGTTTTAACCAGGATCTAGATAGGCTACACTACTAGGGTGACAGAGGTTTTAACCAGGATCTAGATAGGCTACACTATTAGGGTGACACGGGTTTTAACCAGGATCTAGAATGGCTACACTACTAGGGTGACGGGGTTTTAACCAGCACAATCTGTAAGGGGATGCTCAGAAAAATTTCCAGTGGTCAGACTACAGTGATGTCGTTAGTCTCCTAAATAAACGTGACGAATTGGAATCGATTATCAGCATGGAGTACCATTTTATTGTAGCACTGACGGAAATGTTGCCAATGAATAAATAAATGACCCAGGCGACAATGACATCAGAGAATTCAGCTTAAAATGATATGCGATATTACCTTTTTACCAACAGTGTTAAGAAGATTCGAGGAGTCATCATTTATATAAAAAAATGAACTACAAAGAGAAGGAAAAGACAATTCAATGCACTTGGACTTTAGAGAAATGGTATTGTGTAGCATTAATACAACGCATTAACAGAATTTGCTATAGTAGCTTAACCAACTCGGAAAACCTGCAGGAAGTGATGGCAGGAAGCAAATGACGGAACCTATTGTCTTCTGGAATGAATTGGCAAACGGGAAGAACAATAAAAGGCGGAAATCTACATCCCATGAACTTACACCTGTATACAAGATCATTACCTGTACCAGCATGTCACTGACTATACAAGACATGGAAAAACACCGTCAGTTTCTCACCTTGTAAAACATATTTACAAATGCTTAATGAAGTGGCGGATTTGACAGTGAATAGGAAAGAGTGACTATGTTAATTTAATGTTCGAAGAGAGTCTTTATACCGTAGAGAGTAATTGATTTATCTGGGATTGGATGTAAAGAAGTTGGAAGCGATGAATTGAATGGATATAGATGAATTATTGGTCTTCTTTGTTGACAGTATGATGAAGTGTATGTATGTAAAATGTAAACCGGAAAAAAAAGTAGTCCTGGGAGACAACAGAAGACAAGTATGAATGAAACTAGAATACGAGAAGTGAAGAAAAAAAGGAATTGTTAAAATGCAAAAGTAGAAGGAATGAAAACACACTAGAGAGTATAAAAGAGTAAGGAGCCACGTCACCTACGTCCAGCGACAGACTGCTAAACAGTATAAACAATAGGTAGCCAACGTCACCAACGTCCAGCGACAGACTGCCAAACAGTATAAACAAAAGGTAGCAAACACCACGTCACCTACGTCCAGCGACAGACTGCTAAACAGTATAAACAAAAGGTAGCCAACGTCACCAACGTCCAGCGACAGGCTGCTAA